CACCCCTCCCCCACCCCCACCCCCAACCCCTCCCTGCCTCCGGAAACTATGAATGTACCCTTGTTTAGAAAAGGGTTTCTACAGGTGAAATTAATGATCTTAAGGTGAGGTCATCCTGGAATTAGAATGACCTTCCAGGATGACCTGAAAGCCAATGTTCTCGTTAGAGAAAGATGGGGAGAAAACAGATGCGGAGACTAGGTTGATGTTGCTTTAAGTCAAGGCTGTCTGACTTTCCCAGGAGCTAGAAGAGGCAAGGAAGGATTCTCTCTAGAGCCTTCAGAGGAGTCACAGGCTTGCCCGTCCTCCACTGTAGCCTCATCTTCAGAGGCATAAGAATTAGCTCCTGTTGTTTTCAGCTTCTAGATTTGGGTTTGTCATGGACCCTCCAAGGCTCATCTAGTGTGGTGCTGTGTCTGCAGACTGGAGGGGAGTCTGAGAGCTATTTTTAACTCTGATCTCTTGTCGTTTCTGATTTTTGTGCTTTAATAAATTTTCCTTATCTTAATTTCAAACATATTCTCGTGGTATTTTTTATTTCAAATTTTGGATTTTTTTCATTACTTAGTCTTTAATGTAACTGGGACTTGTGTGTGTGTATGGGGGCAGTGTTAATAGATATTGAATTCCCAGATAGCAAACAAATAGTCCCAGTATTTCAAAAATCTGATTTAATAGCATAAGGTAATCTATTAATGGATATGTCAGGATTTATTGAATTATTTACTTATTGAAATTTGTTGTGTTTACAACATGCTATTAAAATAACGTTGAAGCATATATCCTCACACATAAATCTATCGTTACATGCATTTTTTATTATTTCCTTATGATGGATTTTTGGAAATGTCATTACTGGGAATGGGTGTCATAAAGCTTGTTGATTTCTTTTTTGAACATTGATGCTTACTCTGCCCACTGCAGTTATAAAGTTAGAATAACTTACTGTAGGCATATCTGGCTATTTGTTTGTCAATACAATCATTTAAAAATTGCCAATCTGGAAGTGAAAACTAGTGTTTTGTATACTATTTTATATACATTTCTTTGATTATCAATGAGGTTAAACATTTTTGTTGAGTTTTATTTCCTTTTTAAAAATTATCAGCCCATCCTCTTAGCCATCATTTTCTTTATGACAGTTATAATTTGCTTCTTATTGTATGTAAGATATTTTAGCTACATATTTAAAATAATATATAGACTATGTTGACATTTTCTGTAGTATATTCTTTCATTGTTTTTATGTTTATGCCAAATCTTTTCCCATTCTGGATCTGATAGATGCTTATCATAAACTATTTTTCCCATTTTTACTATTTTTAACTCTTTTTTCTTCTTCACTGTATTTTTTAAAAACAGTTGTAAGAGTGGGTGGCTTTCATATCCCACTCTCATCTTTTTGTGGATCTATTTGTTGGTTTTTATGTGTGTGGATGTTTTGCCTCCACATACGTGTGTGCACCATATGCATTCAGTGTCACTGGGACCAGAAGAGGGAGTCAGATCCGCTGGGACTGGAGATGCAGATATGAGCTGCCATTCGGGTGCTGGGAATTGAACCCTGGTTTCCTGGAAGAGCAGCCAGTGTTCTTAATCACTGAGCCGTCCGTCTCTCAGCTCCTTCACTGTTGTTTTTGAGCTGGGTTCTCACTATACAGCACTAGCTGGCCTGAAACTCACTATGTAGACTAAACTGGCCCTGAAATCCCAGATGTCTGTCTGCCTCTGCCTTCGGAGGGCTGGGACTAAAGCCATGTGTGAGCACACTCAGCTACCCTCAAGTCTTAATCCACCATTTAATTTGTATTATGACTGAATTAAAGATTTAAATTCACATTTTCTATGCTAGAAAGTTGACTTTTAATTTATGCCTCATTGCTTCACCTGTTGATTTTTAGTTCAGTAATATATTTATCGTTATCATCATCCTCTAATTTATCCATCCCCCAGTTTGAAAATGTTGCTTTTCTGTACAAATTCTTATGTACACAGCAGTGGAAAACACTTTAAATCTTTGTATCAAATGGTTTCCTAAGGACCAGAGCATGAGTTGCTCACTCTGTCTCTGTCTCTGTCTCTGTCTCTGTCTGTCTGTCTCTCTCTCACACACACACATACACACACTCTCGCACACACTGCATATTCTCATTTTTAAAAGCCTAGGTGATGATGCTGAGAGAGCATGTCTAAGAAATAAATGGCAGACACAAAAAGAAAAAAAAATAGTGGACTTCTCAGGGTTAGAGGGTGCCTACCAGGGTCCAAGTGTGTTAGTGGGCTAAAGTTTTGAAAACATTTTACTTTTGGTGATTTGGGCTGCTCTCATCCCTCCACTTGCTATAGAGGCTGCTGCACACACAGTCTTGGGTTTCTGGTCCTGTGGACAGCTGTGAGGGTGGCTTCTGCTGTGTCATCAGGCTGTGAGGAGAGGGACACACATACAGAACAACCAGCAGTATTGCATGTTACCAGCTTGACAGGAAGCCTGCCTATGTTGGTCTCCTGTTTTGCCCTCACCCCACCTTGGAAGGAGTGAGAAGGAAGCTGTGTCCTCTGTCTTTGATTCACAAAGACGTTTTGATCTCAGATGGCATTGTGGTGGTAATCTTACATAGCACATGATTATTCTAGTCATGGCATTTGGAGCATATCAAAATCTTTCTGTGTCAATTACCACACGTATCACTATTTTCTAAAATGAGTACATAGTAGTGTGTTCCGACTGTAGGACAATGTTATGATTCATTTAATCATGTAATGATGGATAAAATTCTTAGGAAATTAGAAATGTTTTTACTAACAGAGTCAGATGGAATATTCTTATATGTCACTTTTGCCTGTCTGATGATCTCTTTAATCTAAGTCTCCTGGAGTAGGCTAGCTGGATACGTCCTTGCCCGTTGGAAAGAAGGTACCCTTTCCAATCTCACCAGCAGTGGCTGCAGGTGCATATGGCCAGGCCGTGTTGGTAAGACATGATGAATGCAGAAACAAGCTCCCTCTTAATGTTTGTGTTAAGTGTAAGAACAAGAGCTGTGTGCTAGACAGAAATCAAGCCCATCGCTCAACAATTCTGATGGAAAAATACAAACCAAGTTTACCTCCTACCTTCCTGAAAAAAAAAATCAGTATAAAAACAGCTGATTTATTTTTCTTACAGATGATTCACATGTCAGTCTAAAGGATAATTTCATTATCTTATGTGGGGAAAAGCTAATATAATAGCTTGACACTTTTCTAGCTAGATTGATTTTTTTTTGAGGGACCCTGTATGTTGCACCTGTAGAGTTTGCCTTTCTGATTACAATATTGGAACGACATCTTTAACATATTTTGTGTGTTTTACTACCCCTGACTTAGTTTTGGGCTAATCTTCATTTTGGTGTCATTTGTGTTTGGATAACTCAGAAATTATCTGTGAACCTGTTGGTAGAATGTTTTTATGAGATGTGCAGAATGCTGTGAGAAATACTGATTTATTACAAAAACCACTGTCTGTACCTGCAATAAGATTGTAATTGGCTCATTAAGGAAGGGAATGGCTCAGTTGCCTTTAGCCTACTTACTGGCTATGAGTGGGTTAGGACTTCTGTTGGTCTTTTCTGTGTCAAACACACAGATTGCAAGTCCAACACCACTTTGAGATCTTTGGCAGCAGTTAACTCTGCAGCTCACACACGATTGAGCCTGTATGATAATGAGTATTCAGAGACGGGTAATGCCTGGGGGGCACTCACCAACCTGAGATAGAGCGCCTGTGTGGCCTAGGCAGGTGTCTCCATGACGGGTAAGGTGACCTGCTGACGTCCCACGCAACCTAAGTCAGAAGCTCATTTTTTAGTAAAAGGGGGACTGTAGGGTCCTGGCCCCCGTTTTGGGTAACTGTTGCCTTGCTTGCTGACCTTAACCTTGATATCCTCCCTGTGCTAATTCCCTGCCGGGTTCCACCCTCCTGAATGCTTAAGGAAAGATCCTTTTCTGTGTATCCTGCATAATGGGCGTTAACAGCTTAGATGCAAGATTGTAAAACATCGGTAGGGGTTCTCCCATTATGCTGTAAACCTGTATTTAAGACCTCCTCCCTCCTTCAATAAACGACATTGGGGGGGATTTTATACTGTATCAAGCTGATAATAGAAAAATAAATAATAAATAAAAATGAAAAAAAAGATTGTAATTGTTTATTGTAGAAATTTTAAGTAAGCTTATTTGTCATTAGTGTGGTGGAGGATGGAGGACTGCTATAACCCAGTCTGTACCCCTGGCTAAATCAAGATGTACTTCCACCAGGGGAACCATTTCTGTCTTTTCAAATTGTAAACTAGAACCTACGCACAGAAGTTCAGCAGGTGCATCTGTGGACACTCATCACAAATAAGTCATACAGACGGGGGTGGGTGGAGTGGCACACTTGGGAGGCAGAGCCAGGAGGATCTCTCTGTGAGTTTGAGACCAGCCTCATCTACACAGTGAGTTCAAGGCCAGCTGGGGTTACATGGAGAGACCCTGTCTCAAAATAAACAAACAGAGCATACAGTTTCCACTACAAGTAATTCTTATGGAAAAGGCACAGAGTTGCCTGTCTGCCACAGTAAGAAGGCTGAGCCAGGGGCAAACACAGCGGGGAGAAGAAACTGCCTCAGGAGTGAAGACAGAGCCTGGAGGGCTAGAAAGGGGTGGCTGCCCTGTTTCTCTTACTTTACATGCTATTTTAGTTCTACTTAAAATCAACATGGATGAGGAGATTACTGTTCTCCAGCCCAACGGGAAAGGAGAAAACAGGGCCCCATGTGCTCACATCTACTGAAGCTATGCAGTAATTCCTGTGTTCTGCAATGGCTTTGGAGTATTCTCATTGAAAAGCTGGATATTCAACCGGACGCGTTTGAAATAAATTAGATTTAAAGGAGCCAATTATATTGGCTCCTATTATATTGTGTTCCCAATTGTCTTTGCTCACTGCCTGTTGATAATGGATTTATTTTTTGATCAAATAGATTGAGGAGCTGAGCGAAATAGAATACATTGAAAATCTTCCTATCCTTCGAGTTCTCAATCTACTAAAGAATCCAATTCAGGTGAGAGTTTCTTTCCCTCAGGGGTGGAGGGAGGGGAGAGGAGCAAGGACCAGTTTTGGAATTCCTGTTCAGCCTGTACTCTTGATAGGGAGCATCAGGAATGTGAATACAGCACCTCCCCCGCCACAGCCCTGAAAATAATTACAACAGCTACATGAACTAACATTTCAAACAGCTTGTTTAGAGAAGTATGAATCTCTTTCATGGCTAACAAGCTATCTATCAACTGCCCCCAGTTCCAGTAAAGCCTGCATTGGAAAGCCCCTTCCCTGGTCCTTTAAGATAGATGGTGGGTGGAGCTAAACATTACAACAGAGAATGAATAATAAGATTGCAAAGCAGTGTCTTTTCATATCAGAGAATAAAGAGCCCAGAGGTCCAGACAGAATGTGGTTCCTATTTTATAACAGGAGAGGCGGTGTAGAGTGGACACCTAAAGTAATTTGTCTGGATATAGCCATGGGATTGGCATGGTTATAAAATAACCATAGACTAAAACAACACAGTCCCTAGGGGTTTGTAACCTTTGAGACTGCAGATCAGGGACAGTTTTCCGGACTTCTCTTTTCCTCCATTGCTAATGCTCTTCTTCCTGCCCCTCCCTCCACCTGTTGTCCAGCTAGGCTTTGTTTGGTTTTTGTACCCATATTCTTCCCTTTTGCTTCCAGAGTCCCGACCATGTAAGCTTTTCTTATGTTTGTCTTGTTTATATCTTGACGAATATGTCTAGACAAATGAAAATATCAAGCCAGAAATAAAAAAGAACTATTGAACAGTAAAAGCAGTTAGGAGACAGTGGTAGACAAGGTAAAGGCCTTTCAGGGGAAGTAAGGAGCGAGATCTGAAGTGGCCGCCACACCCCAGACTCTGGCCCTTGGAGAGTGTTCTGCAGCTGCACAAACCCCTCACCCAGGTGAATTCACTTATGAACAAACACAGCACTTATACTTTGAAGCATGCAAGAGAAGCTTTAATGCTTCACTTGGTATATAATAATCATTCAGGTTTCTGGGGCACAGTATGGCAGTTCACTCATGCATACAACATGGAGTGATTCATCAGGGTAATTAGCAGCCCATCTCCTGTGTCTCTGTGTTGGGACCCTAAATAAAGATCCTATTATATATTTACTTCTCTTGCATTCCCATCAATGAGAGGCATCTTACACCTGTGTCTTGCTCTTCAAAGAGATGAAGCATCTTATACCAAAACTCCCCCTCAGTTACCACTTTAAAGTCAGGCAATCCTAACAGTTGGCAGGGAGTAAAGAGGAATTTGCTCATAAGCAAGTATCATTTTATTACTGTAAGGCAAGTTCATAATGAATGATCCCAACTAATACAAAAGAACACACTAAATAATAAACCCATGATGAAATAATAAGACACAGACAAATGTCATTATTGTCAGTAATGAAACTCTTTGGCATTAGACAAGAAGGGTTTGGTGTCTCAGATGGGCTGCCCCACCTCTTCGAGGCTCAGCCTCTGCCCCAGATGATAATCCTGCCACCTTCCTTATCTCACAGGGAGATTAGTGAGATCCAAACTTTTGAAGAGCTTTATAAGTTATAGGGCACATTCTGCACCTTGGTTGTTAATTTAGGGGGGCTGGTGAACGTGGTGAAAATGCAGAGCCCTGTGTGAGGCGGGGAGACAGGGTCATGGAAGCAGGTCTTGAAAAGCCCTTGGGAATAGGTTGGTGCTTGGTGACCTGGGGAAGAGGGAAGCCTTGAATAGTCTTCTTGTTTTAAATAGAACAAATCTGAATACTGGCACTTTGTAATATTTATGCTGCTGCGACTGACAGAATTAGATCAGCAGAAGATTAAAGTGGAAGAAAAGGTATGTAATCATGTTGCTTCATGTGTTTTCCAGCTAATGTGTTCAAAAATCTCACGCTGCTTGTAGCAGGACCAGTGTAACCAATCTGTGAGAAGCATGGCAGTATGCAAATTAGGTCTTTATTTAGGAGCATTTCCTTGTCCTAGGATTTGTCAGTTGAACCCTCTGTTAAGCTGGGTATCAACACGTGCAGTGGCAGGTGTCCCGTGGGTACAAAGGGAAGTCTGACAGTGAAGAGTACTGGCGCCCCCTCCTGCTGCCCATGCCTGTTGTGGCTGGTAGCAGTATACATAACTCCCTATCTAAGCGTAGAGTCTGAAATTCTGCCTGTATTATTTTGAAAATTAACAATGAAATGTATCATGTCATTCTATGTAATCCAAAGGTGCTCAAATCACTACTCTGATATCGTAGTTTCTTTAATTCTGCTCTTTACGATGATCCGTCTGAGCCGCAGAGTTGCGGAGGAATGAGCTCTTGAGTGCTAGCTAGCCCCGCCTCCTCCCTTCCCCAGCTGTGGGAGGCATTGCCGCTAATGAGAGGCTTCTTATACCAGATCCAATTTGAGATGGCAATGAAGAAAGGTATATAGGTAGGCACGTATTCCATCCCATAAATGCCTTACTGCAGCCCAGACTAAAAATAGTTTCATATGCTTCCTCATCCTTATTTCCACACTCCCAGCCACCTGGTACAGGCCTTTTTTTTTTTCTTTTTAACATTTTGCAAGTAGAATTAAAAGGAAAGTCATTATCAAATAAATGGGTAATGTATTTAGGAGGATGGTAAAGACAGAGCCTCGACACCAAGGTAAGGGCCTGTGTCCTTGCCTAGAGAAAGCCAGCTGTGACTGACAGAATTAGATCAGCAGAAGATTAAAGTAAAGAGTGTAGAAAGTAAGAGTAAAGAGTAGCAAGTCTGGGAGGGCGAGAGGGGTGGGACCAGTCCTGGGCAAGAGGATGTCAGAAAACAGTTCTCTAGTGTCGACCATGTGGACTCTCGCACAGTATGTTGTATTCCTCCTCATACTAACAGCTGGATTTTGTATTGAGATGAACCGAGTACTTCAGGGATTTTGTTTGGACTTTTTTCTTTAGCTCCCCACAAACCAGATAATATGAAGAAAAAGAAGATCAAAGGATCCCACTCAGCTTTTTACAGGAACTGTCATTATTGGGATTTTAGCAAAGTTAGAGTTGACAGGAAGACTGAGGCAAGGCTGGGAAGCCCGTGACTTACCTTGTTGGTCTCGATTGCTTAATCTAGTCATTTCGCTCAGGACAGTCCAGTCCTTGTTTTCTTTTGGGAAACAAATATGTCTCCTTTTTACTTTTCTACTTCTGGCAAAGGTTTCTGCAGTGAATAAATATGACCCTCCTCCTGAAGTGGTTGCTGTCCGAGATCACATGACCCATGTTGTCAACAGCATGTCGCAGCCACAAAGGATCTTTGACAGGTATTTATTAGGACCCCTACAGGTAGAACTTGGAGTGGGCATGAAAGAGATGAGATGGGGCTGATGTGTTCTCTAGCCCTCTCTCCCATGTGACTCACTCCTGAGGTGTAGAAGCTGCTTTCTTAGGGGTTGGGAGATGGCTCACAGGTTTAGAGCATTGGGTGCTCTTCCACAGGACCTGGGTTCAATTCCTAGACCCACATGTCAGCTCACAACTGTCTGTAACTCCAGTCCCAGGGGATCTGACATTCTCTTCTGGCTTCCATGAGCATCAGGCACACACATAGTACACAGACTACAGACTACATGCAGGCAAAAAACTCGTGTACATAAAGTAGTCAATAAAATTGAAGGTGCTTTCTTGCCTTCTCTGAGGTAGGGGCACATCTTCCATCCTGGTCTGTTATTGTGCACTTGAATGTGCTTTCGTTGGTGGCTTTCCAGACAGAATGGTGATCTGACTCACTTTTACTCTTTCATCGGGTCCCTTGTCCTCTAGCTAGCCTGAGCCAAATGACAGTGAGTCTAAAATAACAATGGCTAGCTTTTCTGCCCTAGGATAGAAACACAGAGCTCCAGCTCATTAACAGAAAATTGTTATCATTTACAAGCACATTGATCACTTTTCTTGTTGTTTTGATGGAGTGCTTCAGCACTCCATCAAAAGTGATTTAGGAGTGGAGGGTGAGCTTTTTCTTAGGGTTTGAGAGGGTATGGTCCATCATCGTGATGCAGAATAGAAGCAGGAACAACTCCCAACAGCGGCAGAGGGGGCAGATCGGGAAGTGGGCATGAGAATGCAGGTTCTCAGGCGGCTTTCCCCCTTCCCATATACTCAGTCCTGGGTGCCAGCCATGGGTGGGGCCGGTGGTGGTTTGAATGAGAAATATCCTCTATAGGTACATGTATTTGAACACCTGGTCCTCAGTTGGTGGTGCTGTTTAGGAAAGGTTATGGAGCCTTTGAGAGGCATAGCCTTGCTGAAGAGGTCCATCATTGAGGGAGGGCTCTGAGAGTACAGGTCTGCCGGGCTCCAGGTGGTCCTCCCTGCTTTGTATTTTCAGTTGAAGATGTGATCTCTGAGCTTCCTTCTCCTGCTCCTTGCTGCCATCCCTCCCCTTTTACAAGTTGCTTTAGGCCATGATATTTTATCACAGCAGAAAGTAACTAACACAGTGCCACACACACGGGCCATGTCCCCCTCAGTGAATCCTCTCTGGAAAACCCCTCAAAAATGCATCCACAGGTGTACCTCATTGTATCCTAGACACCAGATGATGGTCCCAATTAGCCCTCACACCATCCATTGTAAACCCTTCCTTAACTGTGAGCAGAAGCTAAGTGCTCCTGCCAGAGACCATTCTATGATTTCAGGTTTTTAGGAGAGTACCTAGAAAGGATCCCAGCTCACCTCAGAGAAATCTGAGTAGTCTCTACTGAGCTGCCGGCAGCACAGCAGGGACCAGCCACCTTGCCTGGCTGCACACATGATTGAGTCTCTCACCTCCAGATCCGAAGACAGATTTACCGTGGTTTCCCCATTTCTTTTTAAACAGTCTGTCAGAGCAGATGGCCATTTATGCCATAAGTATAACATAGAAATTCTATCAATACCCACAGGCATTTTAAAAATACTTGTAAAACTCTAGGATATAAGCGCTTCTTTTCTTCATGTGGTGTTTGCTTCTGCACCTCACGGTCGGCTTCCCACAGAGAGCAGAATGCTTTATTTCCCAATCCAGGACATGGTTTTTACATATGATATAGTCATGTCGACATTGACAGTTTTGCATGTTTATGAAAGCCCTCCGGGTGAGATGATTTAGCCTTCCTTTGTGTACACCAGGAAAAGTACATTTGACTTGAGAGAAGGCCTCTTTTCTGATTGTAATGTCACTGCTTGTTCGATGCTTTAGGGTGTGTTTATGTACGAACATGCATCAAAGCCATCAGTAGTAGTGTTTGATAAACATATGTTTCTTGGTCTTGTCTGGCCGCCAGACAAACAAGGGCAGAGGCCTTGTCTGGATCATGGCTCACAGTTCTGCTTCAGTGGCTGCCAGGAAGTCCAGCCATTGCCCTTCCCATTGTACCAGGGCAACAGCAGCCCCCACAGCTGGAGGAGGGCACCAGTGGGCTGTGGGCACCTGGCCTGTCAATGGAGTATCGCATCGCTGGAAAATCAGTGTCCCCTCAGTGGGGTGGGGACACCTGACTAAAATGATGCCGGCCAACTGCAAGGGGCCTGGTAGTCACTGATACCCTTTGCCCTTTAGTATGCGGCCTTCCTCAGAACCACCTCATGTGTATGTGCTTTCTCCCAATTCTAGCACTAGGCAGTTCCTCAGGAGGTCTGGGTTTTGTTCTAGCCTACTTTGGATTTGGTGTATGCTTTCATAGGTTTTTGGTTTGGTTTTGTTTTTCTTAAGGAGAATTTTTAAGTTTTTTAACATTTTTCTTGTTCTGTTGATTTGATTTTCTTGGTCAGGAAGACTTCTCTTGCCTATTTTCAATATCTCTCCCTGTCTGCCATATATGTTTTTCTTGAATATTTACTTTGAGGGAGTCACTAATGCACATGCAGTTGTAGGAATTAGTACACATGGACTCTATATCTTTCCCTCATATTCCACAATGCCCTGGACAACTGTTAGTCAAGTACCAAAACCAGGAGACTGACCCAGAAGCCTTCTGAGTTACCAGGTTTCTCTAGCCCCTCAGGGGCTCCTGCATGCTCAGTCCTGTCTGGTTCTGTGTTTCATTAGGAGTCAGTCACCTGAGCACCACACTCAAGACTTAGCCTTCTCATCCCAAGCCCCCTGTGGTACCTTTAGATAGCTGTAACTCCTCTCTCTCTCTCCCTCATAATATTGTCACTTCAAGAATATGATGTACATAGATCACACAGTATAACTTTCCAAAGCTCTCCCAGCACTTGGGAGGCAGAGGCAGGCGGATCTCCGTGAGTTCGAGGCCAGCCTGGGCTACAGAGTGAGTTCCAGGAAAGGCACAAAGCTACACAGAGAAACCCTGTCTCAAAAAAAAAAAAAAAAAACAAAAAAAAACAAAAAACAAATCTCTCACCTCCTATCCCATGCAGGGTACCTTCCTGGAAATTCATCCATGGGGCTGAATCCTTTTTTGATTGTTTAGTATTCCAGGGCATAGGTGTATCGGCAGTAATTTAATCATTCACGTGTGAAAGATATTTAGGCTGATTCCAGTTTGGGGTGCCACTAACAAAGTTTCGGTGAATCTCCATAAGCAGGTTTTTGCACATGTCTCCTTCAGCCTGTCCGCTCCCACTGGGTACCTAGGGTTGTTTGGAGGGTTCCTGTCCTTAGATCTGTCAGATGGCATTGGCTCCAGTACCAGGCAGTCTGCACATTCCTGGAGACACTTCATCTCCTTCTGTTGTGTGTGTTCCCCGTGGGTGCTTGTGCTTAAGCTTTCCCTATTTTTATGCATATCCACAGAGATTATGCTGTTTCCTGGATGTCACAGAATCTTCACTGAATCCACACCTCGGCTATGCAATCAGACATTTTATTTTATTCTGTTTCTATAGTTTATTTCATGAAGTGTGCAAACACAAGGCTCAGTCTATGATGGAGGACACCGTGTTGGTAATTTCATTCTCTTGTTTTAAGGCCAGGGTCTCTCCGTGTAACTCTGGCTGGCCTGGAACATACTATGTAGATCAAGCTGGCCTTCAGCTCACAGAGCTCTTCCCCTCTCTGTCCCTTGAGTGCTGGGATTAAAGGAGTGTGCCACTATGCCAGGCAATAATTTTATTCTTTATTCTGGTCTTCCAGTGTAGAGTCACATACCAGCCTTTCCTTTCCTTCGAACGAGTCAGTCTGCCTTCCTTTACTCCAGCTTGTGTTAAGTGAGGAGTAATAGAAACCGCTTCCTTAGCTCTCTGGTGATTACATAAGGGGCATGTAGAACTTTAGAGCAGTACCTGGCATGCGGTGATGGCTCAGGTGTGACTGCATTGCTACTCTGAAGCCTGCTCTGCGTGCCTGTGTTCCCAAGCAGTGGATATGGATGCTAAACACTGACCTCAGAATTCACTCCCTTTGCTCATTGGTAAATTCTGGGAGGAAGGAATACTTTAGCAATCAGAAGCTAATGTGTCCTACCATGTTTTTCCTTTAGAAAAGCTTGGTAAAGTAAATTGAGAGAAATCTGTATTTTACCATCCTTTGAATAAAAGGTTATATTTTATTTTATGTTGTATATGCGTGTGGGCCAGAGTATATGTATATGCATCATGTGTGTGTAGGTACCTGTGAAGGCCAGAGGAGGATATCAGATTACCCTGGAGCTGGAGTTACGGTTGGTTGAGAGCTGCTAGATGTAGGTGCTGGAAACCGAACCTGAGTCTTCTTGGAAGAGGACTAAGTACTCTTAATCCTTGGTCTGTTTCTCTAGCACCAAATGTTATTTTTCATATATTATAATCTTGTTTCTGGAGACTGGAGCCAACCTTCCACTTGCCCACATTCAGCAAGCACTTGTAAATGATAACCATGACTTAGAAAGCTTACCTGTGCATGGAGCTAACACAGCATCTCTGCTGGATCTTGTTGTAGCACCCTGCCAAGTCTGGATGCCCCTTATCCCATGCTGATCCTAACTGGTCCCGCAGCTTGTGGGAAACGAGAACTCGCCCACCGCCTCTGCAGACAGTTTAACACTTACTTCAGATACGGGTAAGTGTGCCTGTCGGCATGTAAGTCTGGGAGAGTCTTCTGCCTTGTTGGGGGACATCAATAGTTTCTTTCCGTTCTCAGATGCTGTTAACTCTGTCTGCTTTAAGCACATTCTTTCACAGATACAACAGTTTATTTAAGTTATATTTAAAAGATAGAAGTGGTAAGCAAAGTGAATGTTAGGTAGATGACAAGTCCTCAGACATCCCAACCGTCATACCCCTACAATTGGATCAGTATGATTACCTGGTCTTGCATGATGTGGAATCTTTTTTCTCCTGCCATCCTAAAAGATGATGATTATTAATGTATATTCCAGTTACAGAACTTGTCAACTAGCAAAAAGAAACAAAAGATTTTGTTTTTTTCTGAGACCAGTAGTAAATATATCTCAGTACAGCCGACCAGCCAAAGACATAGACAAGCAGGGCACACTCATTCCTTTATACACCTCTCCCATGGAAGGTCTCTTAGCTTCTTTGCCATTAATTACAATCTTTCAGAACTCCCTGGGTCTTAATGAGCTTCCCTCCAGGATGGACTGTTTTAGTTGGGAGGGTGTTGCTCGACAACATATGTAGTATGAGTGTGCTGTTCTGGTTACCTACGGGGCTGACTTCCAGGGACAGCCTTCCCACAGCCGGGCTTGGGACACATGCTGGCAACTCTGGAGCTGTGTGTCTCCTCTCCAGGGGCACACAGCAGCAGGGAGGGGACAACACAAGTGTTTCTCATCCCTTCCCTCAGGTGGCTCAACAAGCTCAGGGTTCCCTGTATCAGAATAGAGGAATATATGTATATGTGTATGTATGTATATATGTATATATATATATATATATATGTGTGTGTGTGTGTGTATATATATTTGCATATATATACCCATCTGAGAAAACCAGCCCACTGGACTTCCAGGTGTTTTAGAAGTTTCTAGAAATCACATTTAGATGGAACTGTCTGACCTGATTCCTCTTTGGTCTATACATGTGGCAAAGGAATTACTTCGGAATTAGCGGTGCTTGCCAGAGACTTGAAGATGTAACTACAACACTGTATAGGCCATAAGCCAGTTAAAAAAAATTAGTTTCTAATGCTATTACAGAAAAAGTCCCCTCCTGAAGCTGTATGTGTTCAAACAATGTAAATACCATCTTTAAAAGGTCTATTTAGAGACTTAAAATTGCAACACATGTTTGGACATTTCTAGACATAAATGCTATAGAATATAAATATCACAAAGTAACAAAAATAAGCTAAAAGTTAATACCAGCATTAAAAAGCTTAGTGTGCTGTTATGTTCATGTGGGGGCACCCAGCCTGCTTTCAGAGATAAGCTGAGCACAGTGAGTAGAAGGTCAAGCTAGGGCGGTAGGGTATATGCTGACCATTGTGCCAGGGTATAAATTTGGAACCTTTTAGCAAACCAAAGTGACCTAGGGAACCAGGGCTTTCTCTTATTGCTGTCATGTCTGTAGCAGCATCCAGCAATAGTTGGTGGCTTGGTTCTTTTTATTTACCAGTGATACACGCTTGCCAAGGTATGTTTGGTCTGATATGTTTTTGGAAATGTTTATTGACTTACCATCAAGATTTCTATTTCAGTCTGCTCATATGTTCTTATCTGGCTCAGTTACTCATTGCCACCCAATCCTACATGTCCCTTATAAGAATGCTTACTCATCCTGATTCGACTGGTCTTTTTGTCCTGGCTTGTCTAAGCCAGGTAGAGAGGTGGCCACATTAGCCTTGCTCACCAATGAGCTCTTGCTGTCTAATGTTGTTTGAGTTTTCTTGTCTGGCCCACAGTCAGGACAAATCTCTCTCACCCGCCAGTCCCAAGCCGCTCAAACCCAATCAAGTAAACACAGAGACTTATATTGGTTACAAACTGTATGGCCGTGGCAGGCTTCTTGCTAACTGTTCTTACAGCTTAAATTAATCCATTTCTATTAATCTATACCTTGCCACGTGGCTTGTGGCTTACCGGTACTTTACATCTTCCTTATCCTGATGGCGGCTGGCAGTGTCTCTCTGACTCAGCCTTCCACTTCCCCGCTCTATTCTCCTCCTTGTCCCGCCTATACTTCCTGCCTGGCCACGGGCCAATCAGTGATTTATTTATTGACCAATCAGCAACACATTTGACATACAGACCATCCCACAGCAGTCTAACATATGACCAGGTGCTTAATACATGTGTAATAAACCCTTGTTAAATGACGGACAGACTGACTGAACAAATGGACAGCCAGGTTAATGGCCACACATGCAAATTTAGTTGAAATGGCGGTGATAGGAAGCATAGGTGACTGATGGATCTGTGGAGGAATGGATGGATGAACTCGTTCAATAGGTATTAATCGAGCTCCTCCCGTGTTCTAGTCCCCGAGGATACAGTGAGAAAGACTGCTGAGGTCCTCTCCTTTGTGCAGTGTATAATCTGGTGGGGACTCCGTAGCATCTGTGTGCAGGTGTGAGGTGGCAAAGCAAACCCCTCACAATAGACACCACATCTGTACTGCTGGTGATTCTTCTGTCCTGACTGGAGTTGGTGATGAGCATCAAAATGCTACCACCTGCTCCTACCACCTTCCCCTTCACAGCCCCTCAGGGGCTCAGAATGGGTCCACCCACTGATCCTCAGCATCCTCATAGAGGCAGAGAGCCAGGCATGTTCAGTGGCAAATCATTCTAAGAAATCCACCCAAGACCTTGGATCTCAAAGTTGGGCACTAGATAGCTAGTGATTTCATCCATCTAGAAAGCTAAGATAGTTCTGTCATTATACGAAGCCACTTTCTGATTAAAACTATAGAGAAACATCTTCAGGGACAAGCCATTGCTCTTGGTTAGAGGATTTTTTTATGGTTCTTATCCCACATAATTGTAGATTTGTAATTAAATGAAAGAAGGCTTGGATACAATCTCATTGTGCAACATTTTCCTGGCTATTTGTTCGGATCTTCTCTTTCTCTATTTCTTTTCTTTTCTTTTTTTTTTTTTTAAATGACATTCACCAAGATCAAGATGTTCGGTGACATTTGCACATGCTAAGTTGCATGTATAGAGTTATGAATAAAGAATGTAATTCTGCCGTATAACAAACAGTGGTGGGGCTGAGGCATTCTACTGGGATTAGCCTTTGGTTTTACTATTTCTTCTTGGCCTAGGAATAGGTCAGGTGTCCTTTCTTTATGTTAGTGACTGGTGACTGAGAGATAAAAGTGTACTGCTTTCAAAGTCTATTTCTTTATTTTGGTTTTTTGAGACAGGGTTTCTCTGTACAGCCTTGGATGTCCTGGAACTCACTTTGTAGACCAGGCTGGCCTCCAACTCAGGGATCCACCTGCCTCTGCCTCCCTAATGCTAGGATTAAAGGCGTGCACCACTGCCACTTGGCTGTCTATTTATTTCTAACTTCATATTACCATACAAGCCAGTGACTTCCTGGGAAAGTGTTGGATGAAGGAGGCCCCACCAAACTAGACCATCTTCCAGTTTTAAGGCCAGTCACGTGATCTGAAGCATCCTTGAAGACAAACTTTATTCTTCCCTCCCTCTCTGTTTTATAATAATCTCTATTGTCACCTGGGCTTTCATAGCTGTACATTAAAAGAAATCATAACAGTGTGGAGTACTAGCATGTGCTTGAGTCACACGCGCACAGCCGAGCTCTGCCTGAATGTTAGTACGGAACTTGCTGTCCTGCTCACCATTTCCTGAGGCACTCTAGTCCAGAACTGGGGTTCTTATCTGTGTTTCTGAGTCACACTGGTCAACCTCCTCAACCACCTGCTCACTCTTTGTTCTTAGACATCTTTTCATCTTAGCACCTTGTCCTAGATACTTTAGAATGCCATTATTAGGGATGACCATCCAAATTTCTTTCCTTCCTAGCGGTGTCCCTTCCATGGGTGTGGTTTGTTAGGAGCTTTGGGGAGAGCTCTCTCTGGAATGCCAAAGCCTCCTTAGTCCTTTATCACCAGACATGGTGTCCCTAGCTTGGTCCTTTTGTGGTAAAGAGAAACTAACACGGAGTGTGGTTCCCATTAAGCCATGATATAATCACACATCATTATTTCATTAGTAAATAAGTTAATTAGCAAGTAACAAAGTCATAGAAATGTACAGAGGGGGTGCTTGATGCTGAAGGGGAGGGCCCAAAGAAATCCATTTTCGTTAAACTTGGTGCTGCTTTTCCTAAGTGAGCTTGGCAACAACATTGCTTTTACTGTGAAATATTTCCTTTTCAGGATGTTCATAATCGGGTGGCACACACACAGTGGAGCTTTCTATGTGTAAAATTGGATGACAGATTGAAAAACCCGCAGGTCATCTTAGGTCCTTCTTAGTAGAAGGTCCCACAGCCGTCCCCAGTCATCATCCCCATTCTCCACATGACTGGAGCTGTCTCTTTGTTTACCTGCCCACACGTTTCAAATTGCTTCTTTGTTTAGTCTCTTTTTAGAAATTCTTCAAAACTCCCTGCCACTCAATCCCTTTGTTGGGAAATGTAAATTCAATGTAGCGTGTAAAGACTTTGCTGAGGGTACACAGCCACAGATGCCAGGCCATAGATTTATCTCCGCTGACTGTCAGGAGCACCAATAGACAGAGAGGCCCAGGTCTCTGCCCAGGCACAGGGAGAAATGCCAGTGTGTTCCAACAACAAAACAAATGTCACCATGTTTTGAATGTACTCTCTTTCTGGCATCTACATGTAAATGTAACACTGAAACCTGAAATTTTCCTGCTACAGTTAATTCTTGATTATAATATAAAGGGAGCTGTCATATGAATTTTAAATCTGTGTTTTTGACTTTGTAATGTGGAGGTTTTGAGGCTCAGCTTTACCCACCTAATTGGTGTGTTGTTATAGAAGTTGACTAGAGTCGTCCCGGCATGGCTGCTTGGTTCCATGTAAATTGCTGTGTTCAGTTCTTCATCTGTAAAATAAGAAATAATCTCTGCTCTGTGGGTTTGTTGTTATTTTTTTTGTAAACGATTTAACATGTCAAGCATTTATCAATTCTCATCTATTTTAGAAGTATTAGATAATCTAAATTCATTCTATTACCAGAACTTAATATTGAAAAAGCAGAAGGATGTAGTTGGCTTTTTCTCTTTTGGGGGGCTTTCGCCCAGTTCCCAAATAATGACATGGAGACTTATTCTTAGTTACAAATGACCGGCCTTAGCTTGGCTTGTTTCTAGCCAGCTTTTCTAACTTAAATTATCCCGTTTCTCTTCTTCTATGTTTTGCCTCTGGGCTCTTTATGTTTCTTTATTCTATATGTCTTTCTTCCCTTCTTGCTCTGTGGCTGGCTGGGTGGCTGGGTGGCTGGGTGGCTGGGTGGCTGGGTGGCTGGGTGGCTGGGTGGCTGGGTGGCTGGGTGGCTGGGTGGCTGGGTGGCTGGGTGGCTGGCCCCTGGTCTCTCCTTCTTTCATTCCTCCTTCTTGTGCCAAGATTTCTCCTCCTATTTATTCTCTCTGCCTGCCAGCCTCGCCTATCCTTTCTCTGCCTAGCTATTGGCTATTCAGCTCTTTATTAGACCAATCAGGTGTCTTAGGCAGACAAGAAGAAACAAATGCAACACATCTTTACATAATTAAACACACATCCTTACATCATTAAAGAAATGCAGCATGAACAAATGTAACACACCTTTACACAGTTAAAGTAATATTCTGCAGCATAAATAAATGTAACACGTCTTTATATAGTTAAAATAATATTCCACAGCAGAAGGATATGAGATCAACAGTCTTGGGGAGTTGAGAACTTTGTGTTCTGGTTTTCTGGGGCCAGCACCATTCTGCAGGGTGACCTTGGATGGGTCACTTCTGTAGTCACCTTTATAATGGTGGGTTTTATAGCTGTTACCACTTCACACCTTTTCCTTTCCCTTGATGTCACAATAAATTCAGCGAATGCCTGCTCTGCATCAGGTGTTGGGAATGCAGTGACAAAGTAGGGGTCAAAGGTCTTCCAGCTGCGTATTTGTGCTGGGAAGACCTGAAAAACTATGAAAGAAGGTTTCAGAGTAAGGGTGTATGTCTGTGTCTGTGTGTGTGTATATGTGTGTGTGTGTGTGTGTGTGTATGTGTGTGTATATATGTGTGTGTGTGTGTGTGTATGTATGTGTGTGCATGTATGTGTGTGTGCTTAGGGATGCTATCTCAAGACAGTGGATAGACAAGGCCTCTCTGGTTAAGAATTCATTCACCGGGGCTGGAGAGATGGCTCAGGGGTTAAGAGTGCTGACTCTTCTTCCAAAGGACCTGAGTTCAATTCCCAGCACCCACATGGCAGCTCACACCTGTCTGAAACTCCAGTTTCACGGGACCCCAACACCTATGGCAAAAACACAAATGCACATAAAAATAAAATAATATTTAAAAAAAAAAAAAAAAAAAAAAAAAAAGAATTCATTCACCACTTGAACCATGTGTTTCCATAGATAATTCTAGTACAAAGCCAAAGCCACAGTCCAGGGAGAATGAGGTGGTGCTGCCCTCATGCGGGGGGGGGGGGGGGGGGGGGGGGGGGGGGGGGGAACAGCAGGGAGATTGGCCCTGAACAAGCAGTTGGGAATGCTGGTGGTGTAGGCTGAGGCTGCGGGGGTATAAAGACCCACATACTACACCAGGGGACGTTAGGAAAAGTATGGGGAGGGCGACCCTTAAACCTGGTCCTGACAAACAAGTGGCCATGTGGAGAGAGAGAGGAGGGGAACCGACAGAAAATGCTCATAGATCAGGGAGAATGTGAAAGCAGCTGGCTGAGCAATCGATACTGTGATACGTCTCAAACTGTCCTTATGTGATGGCAGAAGGGGGTGATTCAGAAGGCGATAAATAATGTAAGTAAAAATGGGGTATTGATGAGCCAAAATTTGTATAATCCTCATAGAAGATAGTGATTAAATATAGTCTAACCCTTCGAAGGCACACTGTTTTCACAATATCATTGCTTTATGATTTATGATCTGTGGGTCAATTTCATTCCTTAACATTCTTCACAATGAAAGCATTTCTCCTGTGACTTTGAAATTCCCAAGAATAGCGGGTGCTCTTTCTTCCTGTGACTTCAGGGCCTGTCACACCACGAGACCGCCTTATTTTGGTGAAGGGGACCGAGTTGATTATCACTTTATCTCTCAAGAAGTTTTTGATGAAATGCTGAACATGGTAAGGCTGCTCCCTGCTATTTTTTTTAATCACAGAAGAAATTCATGTTCTTTGTCAGAAATATGAGGAAACAGTGATTTCTACAAAGGTAAAGATTAAGTGTTGCGTACTTTCTAAATCTGTTTCAGTTTGAAAGTTGTCTACACCCCAATGGGCTCATCATTGAGGGTGGTGCAAATCCCCTAGGCTTCGAATGCATTTTCTTAAACAATATTTCTTCTTTGCCTTCACATGGAAGGGAATCCTCACAACCAAGTATGTTTTACCAGTTGTAAGTCTGCGTTAATGTAATATGTACCCACCCCTGACTTCATTACCCTGAAAGAGCATCTCTGATTGCCACAACTCCTAGCAAATCTCTGCCTCATACTCTTTCTTCCCATGAACCTTAGTTTTGTTTATATCACAGTCCTTGCCATCACCACATGAAGCACACACCACTTCATCCTTTCATGAAGCTCACCAAGGACCAGATGATGGACCAGTCTTTGTTTGTGCCATGAGCAGTCAGCGTTGAGCCAGGAGTACTACATCTCCTCACCCTCTCTTCTCCCTCCCTTCTTTCTCTGTCTTTACCCCAGAACAATGGACCTGGCCTAAACCTCCAGTATACATATCATGGAACATTTAAGATTGGGCTGTGCAGTTACATTAGCTTAATTTTAGACAGCCAACTCTACTATGGTGCGTGCTCTCAGGGCTTGTCTTGTACTCACAGAAATGCAAGCGAGTCCCATACTCCCTAGGCAGCTCTCCCTATAACCCTGTCAAAAGAACGTCTTGGACATCAAACGCCTTCTTGTAGGACTGTATTTTGACAAGTCTGCTTGATTTGCGAGTTTTCTGGAAATTTATATTTCTGAAAGCCTTTAAAAGAGATTTGAGATTTGTCTTCACGGTACTAAGAAGCATTTCCTCAGCCCCTCCATCCTACCATGGATGTTGACTTCCACTGTTAGAGTGGGCATTTTCTCTGGGAGTTCAGTTTATCTGTACTCCAGGTGCACCTCCTACTCTCTGAAGTTCATAGCTTATCAGGTCTATAATCAAGTTAGTCTGGTTCAGTCCCCAGTCTAAGAAATCACTGCACTTCTAGGCTATATTTAGCTTTACAGTTTAATGCTTCACAGAAATCCCAGGTATTTGAGAAGAACTCATTTTTCCTGTCTCTGCCAACATACATTACTTTGATGTAATTTTCATCAACTTGAGTTTCACCTCCAATCTCCTTTTCTTTAGAGTGGGACACTGTTTCATGAGCTAAGCCCAGAGAATCAGAGATTCATGACACATTGTCAGCCTTCTGATCGTGCCCACACTGTCAGCCTTCTGCACATGGAACACTCCTCCACAAACCCCCTGCCCAGACAGCCTGGTTCTCCTGATAGATACTCTGGCTTAGCCACCCCACACACCTACTGTGAGCAGCCATACCCAGCTGCTAGATAGATAAAACATATGGACCTCCGCCCTCTCCCGTGTTCACATGCCTTTTCAGCCAACACCTCCTCTGACCAGCAGATCATCCCCCATACCCGTCCACAGATAGATACATCAGCCCTTTCTAGAGGAACCATCCTTAGTCATTTTCCTACAGAGGCACTCCCTCTCCTGTGGGAAGGAAACCACTGGAGGCTTTTGTTGTGTGACCATTACTACTTATTAGGAAACCCACATGCACTAGGAAATGAAGGGCGTGTGACTGGCCATAGCTGGGGGAACTGCATCATCTCACTGCTTAGCAAATCAATTGAATGGGATCTCTTTTATGTTGCATGCACAATGCAAGGTCTCTGCCAACCATGCATGCTTCCAGAAAATGTTTATGAGACCCACAGAGGAAGTAAACAAACATATATTCGAAAATAATTCAGATATGCGTACATTTTGAAAACAAGGCTCACGATAGAGTATTAGAGTTCTCCAGAGAAACAGGACCAGTAAATAGAGTCTGTGTGTGTGTGTGTGTGTGTGTGTGTGTGTGTGTGTGTGTGTGTGTGTGTATAATCTCTCTCTCTCTTGCACACACACACTCACACACATATACATACACACATATATGTATACACATACACACAGATTGGTTTGGTAGAAGTATCACATGCCTGTGGAGATTGACAAGCCAGAACTTTCTGTATGGGTGGGCAGCATGGAGACTTAGGAGATCCAGCAGTGCCGGTGAGTTACCTTTCTTTTCTCTACAAACCTTAAAAGGATTGGATGTGCTGGGTGGTGGCACCCACCTTTAAACCCAGCACTCGGGAGGCAGAGCCAAGCAGATCTCTGTGAGTTCAAGGCCAGCCTGGTCTACAGAGTGAGATCCAGGACAGGCACCAAAACTACACAGAAAAACCCTGTCTTGAAAAACAAAACAAAACAAAAAAAGGATTGGATGCAGTCCACCCACACTCCAGGACAGTCTCCTTCTTCCAAGTTCACCAATTTCACTGTTAATCTCTCCCCTAAATATTCTCTAAATTGACCCATGAACTTAACCATCACTCGTGGTAAGTTAGGTAAAGCATGAAAGGCAAGCCATAGCCACGTTGTCTACATTCATAAATGTACATACTTAAATACATGCACACACATGGAAAAGAGTCAGAACAGGTTTTTTCAAAGAACAAAGAGATTATGACATCAAAAAAGTAAAAAAAAAAAAAAAAACAAGAGCATATGTTGTTGGGTTTTAAACTTTGATTGTGATGATTGCCCTCATCACCCCCCAGCGCCCATACTCCCTAGAAACCCACCCAACCTCAAAAGACCCTGTGTCTCCTCCTAACACCTCTCCGGCAGATAGCCCGTCTGTCATCTACGCTTGTCTCCAGAATGTCTGGACCAGGAGGCAGCAAGAGACTCCGAGGCTGCGGCTGCTCTTAATGACGGCAGTATTAGACTCCTAACTGCCTGCTATTTTTAATGATGCGCCTGCCATTTAGCAGGGTTGGATGCATCCCTGAACATTACTTATTTTGAAGTCATGCCTTTCAGAAGGCACATTTACCAAGGTCAACCACACTTTTGTTCTTTCTACTCTCACCAGCTTCCCAGTTTAGGTTAGGCCTAATGATTTAATAAATAGTCAAAGAAAAGTCACAACTTGAAGGGTATATGTTTACCTACATTTTCTTTCTTTTCTTTTTCTTTTCATTTTGCAAGGGACTACTGCTGTTATGGGAAATGAATCTCCAGAATATACAGAGAGGGTGGTATTTATAGTTAAATAACCAAAGGGTGGGCAACAATTCTGTTGACTAACATTTGGGGCAGTTTTAATCAAAAGCCGTCTTTATAAGGAAAACCAGGCTGGGTCTACTTTTCTAAGCTTTGAGGGTGCCCACGGCCTTTGGGATCACCCATTCCTCACGGTTTATCTTGAAACGCAGGGAGTTTAGGATTGGGATCCTTTTCTGGAGGCCTGGGATGTTGGCATAGCTACAGCGGAAGGGGAAACCATTGGTTTCACTCCCTCCATGGGGAAGGTTTGTGGTGTGGATTTGGCAGGAAAAAGGTAAGCAGTCATCACGGTCTGTTCTACCAGAAGCTTCCACTCAGAACCTTCCTCAAACATTGTGGCAATAGATTATTTCAATAAACCCTATTTTCTTCAAAAGAATTCTGAATAAGTGCCATCAGAGTTTGATGTTGCTCCACTGTCCCGTTACCGCTGTGTCGTTCTTGCGGGCTTACTAACGCTTTATAATCTTTATGGAATTAGATGAAAGTAAGATATCAAGTGATTTTATCATTACATTACAGCGCCTGTTATGTGCAAATCTTTGTATTTTTCTAATTCCAGGGGAAATTTATTCTAACATTTAATTACGGTAATCACAATTATGGATTAAATAGGGACACTGTAGAAGGTATTGCAAGAGACGGATTAGCAAGCTGCATTCATATGGAAATAGAAGTAAGTATTTTTCATTCAGCTGTGAGTACATGTGCTTGTGCGTGCGTGCGTGCGTGCGTGCGTGTGTATTGCTGTCTGAAGTTGGGGCCACAATATCTGGATAACATACTGCTAGGCACAAGAGAAACGTTACAAAACATGAAGTGTTAAGTATATCGTCAGTGTGGGGGAGGTAAGACCTGGGAAAGTTAAGTGACAAGATTTAGATTACAGCTCCACTCAAGACGTTTGTTTGTCTCTTATTTCCTCGCTAACGTAGCCCTTTGTTATTGCAGTGTATGTTCTTTTGTATGAAGTGCTGTCAGATGAAGTGGGTGCAGGCGTGGGTGGCCCCCTGTCCCCTCAGGACTGCGTCAGCCTGAGTGGACACCCTGCTCCTTCATTCTTCACAGGGGCTGTGTGGGTGGTGCTGTCACTTCGCACTGGCTGTTCATTGGATGCAGTGTTCTTTTATTTCTGCAAGTCAGACTTGCAGATTTCAGATTTTTGTCCCTCCCCCATGCCCCACCTACCACCACCAACCTTCTCAAATTAGAATGTACAGACCTTTTCCCGAAATTGTGAACCAGAGGAAACCCACGAATTTCCTACCCACTTGTTTGAAGATGAACATGAAACTCAACTAAATGAATCAGGTCTTCAGAGATGGTTAATTTTTTTTTAATTACTTTTACTAAGCAATATAAATCTTACAATCAGAAAAAATAAATTCACTAAAACAAACATAAAACAAAACTTGACAAGGCGGTTCTTTGCTGTTGACTGAATGTTAGCTTCACTTTCCTTTGTAGTGCCACAGAGGAGGAGACAGTGGCCTCTTTTGGCTTCCGGTGTTGGCCAGCTGCTCCCCTTGAGTGAAGCTGGGCGTGCTTACTTCATTAACGCTCTGCATCACTATCCATTCTTATCTTTTTGCAGTTGACTGGTTCTGTATCTTTAAGAGAAGTCTTCTTTACATATATATATATATATATATATATATATATATATATTTTAAAGATCAGTTCTAAACACTGTCTGCCTTGGATGGAGGAAGCAAAAACTAATATGCGTTTGAGTGCAGCAGCGTTTCCCAGCTCGACAGTTTCCTGAGTGACAGCTCCTTTTTTTCCTTCCTGAGAGCTTACTGCTCCTCATCTCCAGGAGGTCAAGTCTATAAACTGTTTTATTCCCCTGTTCCTCCCCAGCTGAGGTATTTTTCCCAGACTGCCCTTGTCACCAGCTCCTCTAGAAATGGTTTTAAAAGCAGCCTGTATTTCTTCCCACTGAATCGTTAAAGCAAGAATTCTGAACTTGAGTTAAACTTGACGCTAGAACTGACATGGAAGGGACTTGACAGTCCACTTGGAACAACTCTCCCGCTTCACGTATGAGGAAACTTCTGCCCAGAGAGTTGGAGGGATGTGTGCAGAGTCCTTAGGAACCACAGAGCTGAAGTCACGACCCAGACCTCCCAGTGTACAGTCCCCACCACCTCACCCTTTGGTCACCCGGTAGCAGGCTACGCTGACTCTGATCTGTACCCTCCGGAAGGAGGCTGGACGATGTGGAACCACAATGATTTGGGCAGTTACTACAACCAGTCTTTAAATTTTGCATCTACAAAGGGAGGAAATGTTGGAGGCAGAAGCTCCGGCCCCTGGATGGTGGAGGCCAATACTTTAACAAACCATAAAAGCAAGGTGGCTTTGGTGGTTCCAGCAGCTGTGGTGGTGGCAGGAGAGTCTAATTACTGCCAAGAGACAAAACTTAGCAGGAGACGAGACCCAGAGAAGTGAAAAGGGAGCTGCAGGTGACATAGATATGTGATTTGAGCCAAGTACAGTGGTAGCAAGGTCTGGCTGCTATGAAGAAGACGTGTTTTTGACAACGCTCATGTTTGGCAACCCCTTCCCCAACTCCCACAGGCTCAAGGGCTGTATTTGTGACTGTAATAGTCTGACCATGGTGCTAAAGTTCTCTCTCTCTCTCTCTCTCTCCCTCCTTCTCTCCTCCTCTCCCTCCCTTTCTCTGCCTCTCTCTCCATATATATATATGCCTTCCTGGGTTGCTGGTTTAGAAACGAGAATGGTACCAAAGTGATAGATGATGGAGGGGTGCCAGGGAGCCTTTTTCCTTGGGAAGATTTCTATCTTCTAGTGCTTCAAGGATGCCTATTGAAATATGGAATTGAATTACCTTTTGATAATAAAATAGCAGTACTGCCTTGAATATCCCTATTTTATGTCCAGCGATTTTCTTTTCCTAACAGCCATTAGAACAGTTAATTTGAGGACAACCAGGTGGAATAAATTGTAATGGTTCCTACAATAATTTAATATTTGATGAAGAGAGAAAAGTAATCCAGCCTTGAAGTATTTATAGGAAAATAGCAGCTGATTCTACAGATAAAATATGTCCTTCAGTGTGATACTGTGTGCTACTCCTGAGTTGTCATATCCTACAGTGATGTCCAAAATGGGGGGCTGCTTCTGACTTACCTTTTCTGTAAACATCCAGGGTGTAAGAAGTTTGAAGTATTCCTATTTCGAGCCTCGATATATCTTGGTGGTGCCCATGGACAAGGAAAAATACGAGGGATATTTGCGGAGGAAGGGACTATTTAGTCGAGCAGAAATTGAATTCGCTGTCTCCAGGGTGGACGTTTATGTTAAAATTAATCGGAAATTTCCAGGATATTTTGATGCAGTAATCAATGCAGGTCAGTAATGCCCAGCAGAGTTTTATTTATTTTTTTAATGTGCTTCCATGTTTAAAGTATACAATCACTGCATTTCCAGTTTATGTCATGGAAAGAGAATTCTTAGGAAACAGAGGTATTTAGAAGCGGCAAACAGGTGCAGAAGGGAGTGAGAACCTGAGAGATCCAGTCTCCTGCTGCTCCCATCAGAGGGCTAAGTTGTATTACTTCACAAAGTTGTGACTAATGGAGTTGGTATAAAATGGGCCCACAGAGATTCCTTCCCCTGGGGACATTGTGAGAACAGAGATGGATAATATCTCATTTGAAATATATGTTTAAACTTCTTCAGGCATATGAAGCTCAGGTAATTTTATCATAATCTACTTCTACAAAGAAATACAACTACTGAAAATATTGGAAATTTGAAATTTGTCTGGGTAGAACATTTTCAAAAACTACCTTAGAATAAAGTGTGCCATTTTTTACCCAGATATTTCAAATTTTATCACCACAAAAAAATAATGAATGTTTGAGGTAGAGGATATGATAATTACCCAAATTTTATCATAAATACAATATATTTATGTGTTGTGTTCCATAAATATGTACAGTTATGTCCATTAAAATTTTATCAAATAAACCGGGGGTAGGGGATGGCGCATGCATTTTAATCCCAACACTTGGGAGGCAGAGGCAGACACAGACCAAAACAAAACAAAAAAGTATCAAATAAAAAGGCCACTGATTTGGAGCAGAAGCCAGAGAGAGAAAGATAGAGAAATTTTTGAAATATGGACCTTTCCCTGTGTTTTTAATTGTACTGTTTGGTACATCGTGAAGGAATGGGAAATACGGTGTGTGGATGAGGAGGTTCTTAGGAGTGGTAAGATGGCTGAGCAGGTAAGGGCGCCTGCTGCCAAACCAAATGACCTGAGTTCAGTCTCTCGGATTCATGTGGTGAAAAGAGAGAACTGACCTTTTTTTGTTTGTTTTTTGAGACAGGGTTTCTCTGTGCAACCCTGGCTGTCTTGGAACTCACTCTGTAGACCAGGCTGCTCTTGAACTCAGAGATCTGTCTGCTTCTGCCTCCCATGTGCTGGGATTAAAGATGTGTGCCACCCACACTATAAGTTGTCCTCTGATTGCTGCATGTATCCCCTCCAACAAATAAATAAATGCAGTTATTTAAAAAGAGTGTGTGGGGGGTGCACGCCTTATAGTCCCAGCACTCGGAAGGTACAGGCAGGCAGATTTCTGTGAGTTCAGGGCCAACCTGGTCTACATAGAGAGTTCTAGGCCAGGACTACACAGTGAGACTCTGTCTCAAACAAACAAATAAATAAAATGAATAAATTCCTAACAGCCTTTTGGTGACATACTGAATAGAAGGGGGGGGCATTAAATGGAGCCATATGATATTGATGGTATTCAGCTATTATACAAATGACAATTTTATATGGTTCACTTAATTATTTTTCAAACCTCTAAATTTGTACTGTATTGCGTATCCATATTGTTTTATACTGCTGCACACAAATACTCACAGTTAATGCTTAACCCAGTACCTGGTCAGCAGCTTAGGACAGCATAACAGAGCTCAAAGTCAGTGCCGTGAGGCTGAGATTAAGGAGTCAACTGAGCTGAGATCTCATCTGAAGGCTCAGAGGAAAAACTGAGCTCCCAGATTCCTTCTCATTGGCAGAATGCATTTCCTTGGGGTGTGGGCCTGAGCTCCCAATTCTTGGCTGGCTGCGTCTTAAAGGCTGAGGCTGTTCCTTGGTGTTATCTATACAGTGCTGGCCCTCTTCTAGACAGCAAAGAGTACAGTGAATCCTCTCTGTGCTTTGAGCCTCTGATTTTTATTCTGTCACCGACTAGATGAATCCCTCCTTCTGTGGATGTGATTTGAGGGGACCCCCTGGATAGCCCCCTTCACAGTTGCCTCTACCACTTGTACCATTAGCAACTGTCATTATGCCTGCACGTCCCTTTTGCATATAATGTAATGTAATCACGGGACGAACTCTCTTCACCTCCACAGGTTCTGCCCACTCAAGAGTGAGCGGCGATTATAGGAGAAGGGAGTGTCTCTAGAATCATCTTAGAATTGTACCTGCCATAACAGTAATAACACGAAGTGTAGTGAGCAGACCAGTCTACTCACCACTGAATGCTGACTGTGTTTTGACACGATGCTACTATATGAAAATGTTCTCTTGTTTATTGTAGATGATCTGGACATTGCCTACAAAAAGCTAAGTGATCTCATTCGAGAATACCTGGGATTGACTGAGGAAGCTACTAAGGGCTTGGCTCCAGCTGCAGGTACTAGCCTAGCTCCTTTGTACCAGGTTTATTCTCCATGGAAAATTCAGCAGCTCTGTTGTTCCTTGGGTATACTCATTAGCTAGGCTAAAGCTGGCTCACACTGTTTAATTCCTACATTTTTTTTTCTGGGATGTATGAATTGGTCCTTTGGATCTATAACTCTGCTTGTCTCTCTGTTTATAGTAGGACACTCCCCCCACCCCAGGGACACACTTGGCAGTGCCTTGGAAGTGGACAGTAGATAAGAGTTGGTCTCATGGTTCAGAACTCAGCCTTCCAGAAATCTATTCCCTTATGGAACTAGAGTATTATACCTATCAAGTATATGTTTAGTCCAAGAATTTTAGTGTGAGAGTTTTCTTAATCTTTCTCATTGAACTGCCAGTCCTGAAACCGTTGGGCCGCAGAGAATAGTGGGAAGCTCACTGGCTGGAACATGTGATGGGGGCCTAGCCCAGCTGCTCACTTGGCCAAGCTGCTTAGCTGTTCTGGGCTTCAGTTTCTCGTCACAAAGAATATGACACCACACTTCCCTCCTGCCTCATGGATCCTGAGCAGCAAATGCTGAGGGACGTGTAGGAACCTTGACTTGGAACCTAGAAATTCTAAGCCCAGAATTTGGAGGCATGACTGTTTTGAGATGTATTTGAAATGCTCGCTCCTCAAATTTGCCTCACACCCACTAAGATGGCTACTTACTAAATAGTGTCTGGAGAAATTAGAACCTTGTGCTAAAAGAAATATAAAATGCTGTGGCTGCTACAGAAATGGTATGTAAATTCCTCAAAAAAAGAGACAACTCTCATGTGATCCAGCTGTTTCACTTCTAGATAAATGTCCTAAGTCACTGAAAGCGGAATCTTGGGGAAGTAGTTAGACACCCTATTCATCGCAGTGCCAATCACATTAGCCAAAAGCTGAAGCAACCACCAAGTTCAGTGATGGATGAATGGATAAAGAAGGTGTTGTATTCAGTCTTTGATGTTATTTCATCTTTAAAAGGAGGGAAATTTTGACACACAGTATCACATGAGCCTCGAAGACAGTGTGGTGAATGAAATCAGCTGGTCAGAACAGAACAGATACTGTACAATTGTGTCTCTGTGAGGTATTTAGAACAGTCAAATGAACAGTCAGAAAACAGAAGTGTGATGAGCAGAGGCTAAGTGGAGAATGGAGTCCTATTGTTTAGTGGGTAGAGTTTAAGATTCTAGAAGATGCCAGGTGGTGGTGGTGGCGCATGCCTTTAATCCTAGCACTCAGGAGGCAGAGGCAGGCAGATCTCTGTGAGTTCCAGGCCAGCCTGGTCTACAGACTGAGTTCCAGGGCAGCCAGGACTGTTTTATAGAAAACATTGTCTCAGAAAAAAAAAAAAAAAAGATCCCAGAAGATGCAGTGAGTTCGGGAGATGGACGGTGATGGTTCCACAACAATGTCAATGGACTAAGTGCTTTGAATAGTACTCTCAACATGGTGAAATGGCAAATTCTATGTTTTGCTGCTACAACAAGAATCTTTTCTAAAGGCCCCTCAGCGGCTGAACTCCAGTCACACAGACATATTTGCAGACTGTTAAGCCGGGATTGTTGCTGTTCTGTAGATGCCTTGCAGCTTGGTGGTCCAAATAGGATTCTGTTTGCCTGATAACATTCTGACAGACTGAGAAGGGAGACCAGGCCACGACTTTGACAGAGTTCAAACACTTAAACTGACTGCGCCATTTGCAATTTGAACACTCTTCCTAGTTCCATGAGTCCTTGCGTTTTGGACCAAGGTCAGTGCAGCAGGAGCAGTCTCAGATACTAGCTGACGTGTGTCATATGTTAAAGTAACTAAGGGGTGGTGTGGTAACCAGAAAATGCTCGAAGTAAGCTTGGTCTATCAAAATAGGCTGCAACGCAGTGTGCCTGGCGAGGTTTGAACCTCCATGGAGCTTTCTCTTGAGGAAATATGGCTCCCTTTGCTTTAATTCTTTGCTATCCAAGCAACCTTGTGATCTTTAATTTGGTCCCCTGGGTGGCCCTGGCCCCTGTGGGGGCTGAACCTTACATGAGAACACACTGCCCTGCTCCCTGAACCTGAACCATCTCCCATTGTAAATTAGTAAATTGGTGTGTTGGCTTTTACATCAGCCTTTGGGGGATTTGGATAAACACTGACTCCCCTGAGTAACTGAGCAATGTACGTATCTGTGTGGTGCTTCTGAAGAGAGGAGCAACGAGCGAGATCTAGCACAAGAGCCCACAGACTCCATCATCGTATTCTGTAGCTCTTCTTATTTCTACAGTGATCAGGACACTGACTATAGCGTACAGTTACTATTGGGCAAATTAATAGGCAAGATAATACATGCAGAGGAAAACAGACCCCCACTTTCAAGTATATAATAAAATCTTACTTATTTGGAATAATTATGTTAGGCCTATCTGATTTAATGAAAGGTATAAATTATAGAATTATAAAAATGTTATAACTCTCAGAAATATTTACTAATCGAAACTGAAGCATCTAGTTATTGAATAATGGAATTCTAGCTTGAAAAGTAGACAGGATGGATTGCAATCAATCATCAGATCTATATCCTCAACAGAACCTTATTTTCTAAACGGTTTAATATTCTGAAAAAGAATGTGTTTTCTTAAGGCAAAAGCCTTATCTCATGTTTACAGTTAATTTGCAGAGGGAGTTCTTTTTTTCAGTTGATAATTAAAGATAAACTTCCACTTCGGTGGAATTGTACAGATCAGACAGTATTCAAGTGAGTATATTTGAAATTCTAATGAATATACTCCTTATTAATAGCTTTTAGGGTGTCTCTAGCAGCCCAAGGAGTCAAGCCAGGAGCTTCTGTGAAATCTTTGCCAAGGGTGAGGGTCAGTACAGGTGAATGGGGCCTGTTCTAGTTTCTAGTTTTGTTTCTGCTGTAAATTTCTGGTAAACTGCCCTGACAAAGAAGCAATTGGGAAAAAGAGCCTCACAATTTCAGGTGACAGTTCATCACTCTGCAAAAGTCCAGGCAGCAGCAACTTCAGCATCTAGTCATATCACATCCACAGTCGAGAGCAGAGAGCGACGAATGCATGCTTGCTCAGCTGCTTGCTCGTGCTAAGCTTGACTCCTCTGTTCTTATGTGGTGCAGGAACTCCTGCCTAGGGAATGGGGCCACCCACAGTGAGCTGAGTTTTCTCACACAATTAACATAGAGCCCCCCACAGACTGCCCACAGGTCAACCCATTGTATACAATTTTTCACTGAGACTTTCTTCCCAGGAGAGTCTAGGTTTGTGTCAAATTGACAAAAGTAATTATCATAAGGCACAGACATAATGGAAACTGTAAAGACTCCCTAAGAAGGGGCAGCCCCAGCAGAAGTACCATCCTGGGCCTCTGGTGAGTTATTCTGATCTTTTTCCTATGATATGTGATATATATCATATTCTATGACTATATATATCATATGACATATAGTCATATATATATGAGAAATTAAAACAAACAGTATAGTGGGTTTAAAAAATAATTAAAATGTCAAAGGAGAGAAAGTGAAACAAATATTTAAGATTCTGTGAGAGTTTAATCTGAACAATTGGATAGCTGGGTGGGTATCTGAAGCCTTACTTTTCTGTCTTAAATCTAACTGTGAATTTGTAAAGTCATCTTTTCTTAAAACATAAAAGAGCCAGGCAGCGGTGGCACATGCCTTTAATCCCAGCACTTGGAAGGCAGAATCAGGCAGATCTCTGAGTTTGAGGCCAGCCCAGAACCAAAACTACACAGAGAAACCCTGTCTTGAAAAACCAAAAAACCAAAAATCAAACAAAAAACATAAAAGAAAACGCTTGTAATATTGTGGCTCATTACTGGCCTGGCGCGGAGAACCGAGGCTTTCCCCAGCTGGATTAAGAGCGTCTGTGTTGAGCTTCAGTCCAAACAGAAATCTTACGTCAGTAGCATCATCTTTCCAAAAGAGATAATCCTGTGCCAGTGCAACCTAAAGACAATCCCCAAATATTTGAAGTAATAATATCCGGCCTCATCCCTCATAATCATCAGCGGCTCACTTGTCACTGGGAACACAGTGATGATGTCCACATAACAATGAGGATGAAACAGAAAACTGAAAGCGAGCCCAGGAGCCGTCTGCTCGAGGCCAGCATCCACCCACCTAAGCTTAGAACTCTGAACCTTCCCCAGGACGGGTTAGTTGAATTTCCACTGAACGCACGCATAAGAAACTTTAGGTGTTCAGTGCTGAGAAGCTCGTACGACCTTAGATGTGCCGTTAATTTTAAATGCATACCAATTAAGTACGGCACTGTCCTATTTCCCAGAGCAATGTAGGAAGTATTTGTTTCTAAAGCATGAAGTTAACAGTGCAGTTTCTATGAAGTAAGGAGAAACTCACTCAATTTGCTACTCAGTTTAAGTGTATGTTCACCCTCGGTCTCTATCGCCACTGGTTCTCAGCCTTCCTAAAGCTGAGGCCCTTTAACACAGTCCCTCATGTTGCGGTGACCCCCAACCATAAAATTATTTTTGTTGCTACTTCATAACTGTAATTTGCTACTGTTTTGAATCATAATGTAAATATCTGTGTTTTTCAATGGTCTTAAGCAACCCTGTGAAAGGGTCATTTGAAAAAAGGGGTCAGGACCCACAGGTTGAGAAATGCTGCTCTAGGTCCTGTGTCTTGATCTGTCGCTGCTTCCAGCAAGGCTTTAAGGAAGTGGAACTAATGAGCAGCCTGAGCTCTTGCCATAAAGGTTATGAAATGGAATTATATTTTTCTTAATTCTGATTAATGGTAAAGGGAAAATGGAGCAATTTGCCAGCCCATAAAGTGGTGCTTTTATCTTCCAGTAAAGGGCATGGTATCATTTAACCAAATATCGTGAACTGTTAAATCATCAAAGCAGCAGAAGAAAACCTGTCTGTCTGCGCGTGCAATTAGAGGAGAGTGCCTTCAGCGCTGAGTTTCACTGTCCTTTGCTTTTCCTTTTAAGTTGTATACATGAATTGCATGCATCATGTAAGCATACATAATTTGCCTTTTTTGTGCTGTAGAATTTTTTACATTCATTTACTTGTGTGTGTGTATGTGTGTGTGTGTGTGTGTGTGTGTATGCGCACATGTGTGTGTAGATTAAAGGACAGCTTATGGGAGCTGACTGTCCCTTCCACTATGTGGGTTCCAGGGATCAAACTCAGGTCATTGATCTTGGCAGCAAGAGCTTTAACCACTGAGCAATCTTGCCAGCCCTAGTTTGCCATTTTAATCGTGTTAAGTGTGAGATTCAGTGCCATTAACTACATTCTCGGTGTTGTGTAACCATCACTACCACCTATTTCCAAAGTTTTTCACTGCCTATAATAGAAACTACTCATTAAGTAGTCATCCCCTGCCCTGGTGGCCTCTGGTCTACTTTCTGTTCTCTGTAAATTTGCCTGTTTTGGTTAGTTTCATTTTTTAATTTAACCTCGTTTCTTGTCTGAAGTTGTGTTTTAGTTTATATCTGTGATAAATTTGGTGATTAAAAACAGTGAACAGAGGGTGCCATCAGAAATCTTACCACGGGGGAGGCTTTTCACTCAGCCCCCACTTGCCCTTCCACTCTCAGGAGACATCTAGTTTGACTGGATGCAAAAGAGGACCGGGGCCGGGCGGTGGTGGCGCACGCCTTTAATCCCAGCACTCGGGAGGCAGAGGCAGGCGGATCTCTGTGAGTTCAAGGCCAGCCTGGTCTCCAAAGCGAGTACCAGGAAAGGCGCAAAGCTACACAGAGAAACCCTGTCTCAAAAAACCAAAAAAAAAAAAAAAAAAAAAAAAAAGAGGACCGGACTAGAAGGCTCATTGTGAATCTAGAGTAGCGCACACCCACCCTTCCTTAGGGGAGGAGACAGTGGCCAGGGACACATTTGCTGCTGGAGATGGGTCACTCTGGGGTCACCAAAGTCTCTTCCAAGTTGAACTCAGACTAGTTTCTTCAAGGTTGTTCCAGACTCGTGCGTCACCTCTGACCACTGCAACGGTTCAGAGCTGTGCTGTCTGGGGGGATTAAGATGGTAGGTAGGTCACTAGAAGCATGTCAAGGCTTCTGTCATTTATAAGCCAGTGCCGGATGGGGTGACTTTGTCCAGGGGACCAGAGCCACTCTGACTGAGAAGGTGTGACTCGGGGAAGCGGGCACTCTCTGGAGTACCTGTATTGCCAGCGGCCTCTGGGAGCCATTTCTGTAGCCAGGGAGATCTGGGGTGATGGTGGGGTGAAGACAGCAACTTGGACCCTTGGTCTTCAGGAGCAGACACTGGTGTCTTACGATGGATGAATCCATGCCGTCCTTCCTCCATTTCTTACCCACTGAGTTCCTGCTGGACACTGAGCCTCGAGGGTATTAGTAAAGAGCCGGATCTCCTCTCAGCTCTCAGCTCGTGTCTTAGCCACAAACAGCAAAACCAGTCTCCTTCATTTGGAAAACCCCTTTACCATCCGCAGATCCAGACTTGGTTTTGAGCAAACATCTGTATGCTTTCTCATTAACGTTCTTTTCAGTTCACTAGAAATGATCCTAAGTTCTATCCATTAGAGACTTGTAGCCACTTCGTCTCCACAAGGAGAAGGATAGTCTAGCTGTGGTTTTCTTTTTAAGGTCCTTTGTGCAACCCAAAGGGAAACAGGGTTTTGTTGTTTATTTCCAGCAGTAAAGAGCCTTTGTAGCTAACTTCTCTTTATATTAAAGCAGGCGCTCCCTCTAGCAAGAAGACCATCTCTGGGGTCCCAGCACACCTGGTCCCTTCCCCCAGGCGCTTGGCAAGACTGCAGGCAGATGGCCAAAGACCAGAGGCTCTCCCAGAAGTGCAGACTCATGCAAAGACCCCTGAAAGTCAGAACCCAGCTCTCCCACAGAGCCAAGAGTTAGCTGAGGAGGGAGAACACCCTAAGAAGGAGCCTTCTTCCAGCAGCCACCTGGATCCACCTCAGCAGGTCAGTTCTTCAACACTTGATATTCCTCAGCAAGACCAAGACACATCACCAAAGGTGAAGGAAGGGGATGGTCAACCAGCCAACCTCCCTCCCAAAATAACCACTGAGATGGACGGCCCCGAAGATGAGCCTGAGCCACATGAACTAAAAGCAGGACAGTCTTCTACTATTGCTGCTCAAGAGCCCCCTCAGCATCCTGACCCCCCTCCCACACGCAGCCCTCAGCCAGACCAGGATAAGGAACCTGGAGAGATCAAAGGAACCCCTAGCAACCCACCCCCAACTGAACCCTCACAGGTACCTGACCCAGCTTCCCTCAGTCCTCAGAGAGTGCAGGATGAGGGAACTGAGCCAGCCAACCCTGCACCCAGCAGTTCCCCTCACAATCTTCCAGAAGATCCCTCCACCTCTGATGTAGTGAAGCCTGCTGGGGGTTCTCAACCACCTCTGAAGGAGGGAACCCCCAAAGCGGTTGTCCGTGCCAGTACTCCTTACCCAGAAATTCCACCTCCCCAAGACTCATCCTCAAACTCAAAACATACCCAGGTCAGGGAACAGCCAGTGGCCTTGCTGCCTAAAAGTCGGCTAGCTCCTACCAGGTTACCCCAGCCCCAAACCCTGGCTCCTCTCCAGAGCAGGAGACCCACACCCAAGCTTCTTTCTCCCAGTAGGGAAGAGGCTTTGGGGACAAGCTCAGATCAGACCCCAACTCCTTCTCCCAGGTCTCTCCCAACTCAGGATGGAGACCCCAATAAACTTCCTCCCATCAGCCCTCCCCAGTCCAAACCACCCCCAAACCCAAGCCCCCAGGCAGCCCATAGTCCACAGCAAGCCCATGTTGGAAAAGCCAGCGAGGTGAAGCTCCCACTTATTAGCCCCCCGATCCAGGAACAAGCCCAGCAGCACTCCACCAACCCTCCCCAGGAAGAGGAGGCATCCCCAGTCCGGCTCCCTCATATTCCTGCTCCCTCTGTGGAACCTCAGCTGCCTCAGAACACTAGGCCAAGGCCTGCTTCGAAGCCTGCAAAAGAAAGGAAAACTCCCAAAGTAGGCCATGCCTCCAGCAAGAAGATTCCAGATCTACAGCCGTCACCTCACAGGCAAGAGGCTACTAAGCAGAAGGATGCTAGGAAAAAAAACCTCAGGCAGAGAGAGACAGCTAAAGGGTCGCCATATCCAAGAAAGACTCCAGGGGTGAAGTCTCAGACAGCCCAGCAGTCGGAATCCCAGAGCAAGCCAACTCCTAGGAATGTGTCTGACCCGCTTGACTCCAGGTCCCCTCTGAGCCACACTGAAGCAGTATCAACAGACCCCCAGAACCAGGAGGACAAAAACCGCAAAGCACACAATTCCAGAAAAAAGGACCTGGCTCAGTCTGTAGGTGCGTCCCCAAATGGGGAAACGTTAGAAGGATTAGCTCAAGAAAACGAAACAGCCCTCGGTGAGAATCAACCAACCCAAGAAGCTCAGCCCCTGGGGGTGTATCCTGGTGGGGGAGAGGAGGCTCACAAAAAGGAAAGGTCTCAGAAGAGAGAGGTTGTGGGGAAGCCTTCAGAGCAGGAGGTTGCAGCCCCTAGCCAGCTGCGGGCCAAAGAGACACAAACCCATAAAGACACCAGTCAGATCAGACAGGGCTACGCCCAGAGGCACAACATACTTATGTCTAAGCAGCAATCCAAAGAAAAACGAACTCGGAAAAATGGGGATGTACCACAGAACAGAAGCCCTACTGCTCCCCAGAATCAGGTGTCAGAGGAGGAGCAGGGTGGCCGGACAGGAAGACTGCGAGCCAGGGGCAGCCAGAGCATCAAAGTATAAGCCCTGGCTCCTGAGAAGCTGTGACCCCTGAGAGCTGTGCTGTCGGGACACCAAGGTGCACCACTGGTTTCCTTCTGTGACCTCCAGTCAGCACCTCGCTTTGGGGCCTTGGTAGCTCTGTTCCTCTTGTGGCAGCAGCCGGGCAGACAGCTGGTGTGATGCTGGTGTCATCAAGGGGCTCTTGTGTTCAGCTGTGAATTTCAATAGGACTTATGGCTGAAGAAGGGCAAATTACCATAATGTTTTGTTTTCTTCATTAGGAAAATTCGCTTCTAGACTAGAACATTCCTTCATGCTTTTTACATGATTGGAGGAGCCTGCAGCAAAGAGGAATGCTGCAAAAAGAAACCTTGCAGGTTTCAGAGATTGCCAGCCTGCACTTACTTAACTTGTGAGGACGCATCTCTGTAAGCTAGACTCTGGCCGGCGAGCACTCGAGGTCTGAATTGGCCTATGTTTTGCTTGTACGCTTCAAAATGAGTATCTTCCTTCTGTCTTTGAATAGGAATCTCATGGTCCATGGCTTCATTATGCCAAAGCATCTGGTTGAATCACTTAAAAGAATTTGTGGAGAGAAAACTCAGGGGAATCAGTTTTTTTCATTTGTCTCTCCGTATTATTCTATTATATTCCTGGCAATGACTAAGGGATGGCCAGAGCCAGCCTATGGAAATCTATTAGAAGGAAGTATATGTGCATCTTCCACAACCAAACTGTGGGAAGGGCCAGGGTGCAGCAGGTTCTCAGAGAGGCAAGGGGCCAGCCATTGAACATCACCAAGGTTCTTGTCCTCTTCTAGACTAAGCAAGAATCTAGGACTGCCATCACTTCTCACCTCTGTCATTCTCCATGTTGGCTCCATTCTTTGGACTACAAATGGTTATATGTCATTCTCTCTACATAGCAGGGACACGCCCACCAACAATTCTCAAGCTACATCCTGTGGCATCTCTCAGCACTGCTATAAAGGGATTCATCTAAATCATCCTTAAGGTTAAAAAGAAAATCCAAAGAAAGGCTTATTGCTCCTTTGATCAAGCATTCATTTAGACCAGTCAGCTCTGGCTTGGGCATGGTTATCATCATCCATATCCCACTGGGTTCACTGATCCGTGTGGAGACGGTGTTTACAGAAAGGAGGATAAGTTCAGTCAAAGCCATCAGCTCACGATTCCACTCTTGAAAAAAGTTAGAAGATAACCATTGAGTACTTACTGAAGCCGTGTTTGATATCCCGTATTTCATTATATAACCAATGACTAGTGCCTGTGTTTTACCTTATGCAAAAGACATGTGCCCACAAACCTGTATGAATGATAAATGTTATCTCGAGTGCAATAGAGGACACTGATATTTTTAAAATCAGGGATATAAGGAGCGAACAAGACTCTTCTTATAACTGAAATATTAGTAGATATCCTCTGATTTATCTGCCTTCTCCAAGATAAAAGTTAGAGTATGATTTTTTGAAGTAATTTATGTTTATTAAGTGAACCGTCATCAAGAAGGCTTTATTGATCATTTTCTGTGTGCCAGACAAAGTAATGGTTGCTATGTATATCCTAAGATGATGCTGACACTTCAGGGAACTCTGACAAAATGGTCCATTATTACACCATATAATTAGGGTGTCCGGAGATCCCAAAACAAGCTTACCTGTATTTGTCATTCCACAGATAAGACAACCTGTTCATTTGCTTTTCTAGACTGTAGTAAGGGCACTGAGTTCAGCCTGCTAGAACTGTACCAGCAAAAACCTCAAAGAGAAGTTCATCCCTCAGCTGAGACTTCAGGGCTGCAGAATTGCTCAGTGTATGGATGCAGGAGGGGATGCTTCCTGTTGCTTAAACACAGACAGGAACAGCTAGTGTCTCCTAAGGACCCAGCTGCCAGGTGAACTGTAGGCCTATCTAATCTGTGCCACGAGAAGGAGCTTTGGAAGCCTCATCTTGTAACAGCGTGGGGAGGGGAGGGTGCTTAGATTTGTACTTTAGGGATAAAGTTAAGGAAGAAAATACTAGAAACAGAATGACGGGCTCATCATGACAGGAGGTAGACAGGGCAGCAAGGGCCTGAAAGATGGCACTGGTGTCCAGGGAGGTCAAATCCAGTTGGTGTTTAACTTGGCTGTGGAGAGGGTAGATTATGAAAGACAGCAAGCAAAGGATCGCCTCTCTCTTTTTTTCTTGAGAGGGTCTTATTATGTAGCCCTGGCTGGACTGGAACTTGCTATATAAACCAGGATGGCTTTGAACACACAGGGATCCACATGTCTCTGCCTCCCGAATGTTCCGATTAAAGGTGTGCACTGTGATGCCCAGGACATCTGTATATGGAATTTGGGGTGCCTTAGTGGGCCAGAGCCATGTTGGGTGTCCTTTTTGGCTGCTGTTTTAGAGGCCTTTGGAGCTGCATTTCTCCTTAGCGTTTGAGTGGGACACATTAAGCAAGTTTCCCTAAGCTGTGGAGGAGGCACTAACCCCTGGAATTCATAATAATAAGAGGGTTTTTTCTTTGTGGTTTTCTGTGGTTTGAAGTTTTATGCCTCAGATTCACTGCTGTTGAACATTTTGAAAGGAGAGGGAAAGACTGTTGTCTCTGGCCAGAGGCATTTACTCTGGTATTGGTTCTCTTGCCGCAAGGAAAAACTTCAATTTTTCAATGCAGAACACAAATATATAAACTGACCATTTTCCATGTACACCAACAGGCAAAGTTCATATTGCTTCCACCTGAGGCTTGTCACAAAGCGACCTTTAGAGAGAAAACAAAAATCCATGTGGGCTTTAAAAGTCACTGTCCGCATACTACCACCTTCTTAAGGAAGTCTGGTGTTTAGTGTTCAAATCAACAGAGAGCATTTCCGCCAGGCGTAAGAACCTTCTTCAAGGACTTTACGTAAAGAGCTGAGCCCCCAAAAGACAGAGAAGGCATGATCAGACAACTTACAAAAGAGAAAGTAAAAATGTCCAATAAACATGTCAGAAACAATTTAATCTCACTGTAAGTGAAAACAGAACAGACTTTTTTGATACCTTTTTTTTAAAAAACCAGATATAAAACAGATTAAGATCCATTTGGGTAAAGTACCGGTGTCAACAGTGAGGAAACAAATTGGCATACCTTTTCTGGAGAACAGTTTTCCAGCCCCTGTCAAAGAGTTTACAGACCTTTAATCTGATCATTTAGATCCAAGAATTATCATGAGGAAATATACACGAGACTGCTCATATCAAATTTTATAATGAAGGTTAGAAATACTCCATGTGATAGAATTTTTGAAATACATTTACAGCACGGCCATCTGCTAGAGGCATCTGCCTTATGTTGCCCTTATACTAATGAATCTTTACTAGGAAGATAGTGTTCATTCCACATTAGAAAGAAAGAAGGTTAAGGAGGTACAGCCAGTATGCCTCTCATGTTAGTTCTGGGATGCTAGGTTGTGATTGATGTTTTTCTCTCATTTATGTTTTTAGTATTTTGCAAATTTTCTACAATGAGTTCATGTTTATTCTAAAAAGGAAGACAGAATTAATGCACGTGTGTGCGTGCATACTCACACGCGCAGACACACACACACACACACACACACACACACACACACACACACTCTTTGAAGAGCTGCCATGTCTATTTGGTGTATTCCAATTTGACATAAGTCCGAAGTGGCTTGCAGAAAAGCAGAACGGCCTCCTCCAGACATTGGATGTGTTACCTCACACAAGAGCCTCCATGGGTTGGGTGATTTCGTAGAGTGGATAGAACTCAAGTTTCTCTTTTTGATTTATGATCCACTTAGAACAACTGGTCCACTTGTTGGTTGTGAAGAATCCAGCTGCCTTTTCCATTAAGTAGCATGCTTTTGTAGCAGAAAATGCTTTTGTGGTTCCCGGTATTCATTAGCTCACTGGCTTAAAATATTTTTGACCAAGCCCCATAGGTAGAAGTGCATTTTACAGTATCATGGTCCAGTAAACACATTCACAGATAGGAAATAAAATATCATAAGACACCTTTCATAGGTGATGGACTCCCGTTTTCTATGGTGCTGAGTTTAAATTTTCTAGGTGCAGGTTGTAGCTTACTAAATCAGTTTTACAATGTAGTTTGCACTCTGCTGAGCCTCTGGACCTCAACCTTGTCCTGTTCCCTACTTGCCAGATCACCTACTTTCTCTGTCTGCCTTCAGGTTGGTTCGATAGGCTAGCCTCAACTTATACTGAATTCTTCTCTGAGAGCAGGATCTGGTATATGGGCAGTTAAGCCCTTTGTTATTGTTTGGCCTCAGCCTGAATTCAAATTCAAATAGCCCAAGTTCCTGTACAAAGCTATAAGCTCTTATATAAAGCTTTAAACACTTTAAAGCACTCTTGATCAGTGGTGAGGCTATGAGTAAGTAATCAGCCAACTCTCTTGCCCTTAGCTCCATGACAACCCTATAAACAACACTGTTACAATAAAGGAGCCCCCAAATTCCACTTGAGGTCCTTGAGGTGTGATATGGGGTCTAGCACTATATGTCCATACGTGAGTTTACATGCATGGTAGGGTTTGAAAGACTAACTTTAGTAATAACTTTTCCGTGTTGACTAAGCATCCAAAGAAGAAAGTAAAGGCCTGCCTCTCTTTCTGTGTGTTGATGGTAGGTAATGTTAGCAGAGCAGACCTCTAATCTGAAAGTTGACTGTGGGATGGCCATCATGAGCAGCAAAAGCTGAAAGCCTTCTGTTAATGATAGTAACCTTAGAAAGTCTCGATTACAAATAACACTGACTGTCAAAATAATCACTGGAAACCCCCTCTAGTCGGGAGTAAATGAGGGAGTATACGGAAAGCACTCAGAATAATGTCTGCCCTGCAGTAAGTACTGAGATGAGCGTTTGTTAGCACTAACATGTAAACAGCAAAGAAAATATTGCATTTGATCATCAATTAGAATCGGCCAGTGTGTCCTATTTAAACTAGGTGGAAGTGTTTGTTAAATGAAATCGTCTTCCCTGAAAATCCCTTTATGACTTCAGCCTTGACTAATTTAAGGAGCTTAAGCAAAATTAGAATGATATTAAAAAGAATTGGTAGTTCGGCATAATATCCCTAAGATAGAGGGCTTCTTCAATAGGCATTCACAGGCAGCCTGCTGCCTGCCCAAGACAAGGAGAGGTATCAAATCTGAGCTGATGGTGAATTTCCTCGTGACACAAACATCAAACACTTGGGATAACAGCTGGCACGTAGTACATGCTCAATAAATGCTGTCTGTTCTTTTTATTGTTATCTCATTGTTGATAGAGATCAAGTCCATTCTACTGTGTAGACAGCACATGCTGTCACATTACGTGTCTGGGTAACAAACAGACTCGTTTATTTGTTTTCTGTTTGTGGTGGGTTGAGACAAAACCTTTTACTTCTGGATCTACCAACCCTCAATTTCCAAGAACAAAACTAAATATCCAAGTGAAGAGTAATAGAAAAACCTTTGTCAGGGAAAGTGACCGATGAAATGGTGACTTGGAGACAGTTGCTCATGAGGCTAAATTATGGCCAGGTGCAACAGCACGTGCCTGGGTCCCAGCCACTCAGGAGGCTGAGGAAAGAAGGTCCGTTGAGTCAAGGGAGGCCAGTAAACAAGGGACTCTGTTTCGGTTGGTGGCATTGTGGTACACCAGCAAGATTTATTCAAACGTATTGGCCTAAGTAGCAGAGACTTTAGACCTGTGCTAAAGCCCCCTGCAGGCTTCTGTCCCCTCCTGCCTGTCCCCTGCTGCTGCTTCTTGTCCCTAACTTTCCCATACAATGCAGCTCTTTTATGCTAAGCTTCCAATCTTGACATTTTCTCCCGTCTGTATTTTATTTCCTTCAAAGCTTCAGCTAGCAACTTCAAGATAAACTTACTTATTTTGTTAAAAAAAAAAAAAGCCCTGGCATTATCATATGTTTTAATTGGAATGTTCTGGAGTCGGTGTCTGAATGCTGGCTTGTTAGTTGAGCTCCACAGAAGACATAACAAAATATGAAGTCCAGAAGGAAGAAAAGGTTTTGAACTTCATTTTCTCTGTGTATGACTATATTTTCACATGCATTCTTTTTTTTCCCGGTGTGGAATCCATTTCTGTTTAAGTAGCTGGTTATCCCTTTGATTGGATACCGAAGAGTACAGCATCTCTCTGTTATAATAGTTTTGCAGATGTATTCATTTTGCCTTAGAAACATGAACATTATTACTCTATTTCCTTGGACTTATGAGATAGCTTTCTACGTACTTTCCTATTTTGCTCTGGAAAATTATCATGGGAATTATATGAAATGATTTTTCTGCTTGCTGTTATTCCTTTCTTAGAACACAAACAGGCATGATGTGTTGAGATGCAATTCTGTCTTGGAAAAATAGCTTTTTTGGTACCTTCAGCTTTGTGAAAATACTCCCTAATGAACTCACTGTTTTTCTTCACTTTCTACCACAAATTGTGTAACTATTCTGTTAGAAATAAAGTTTACATTCTATAGCACATTATTGTGTTTTAAGTTGTCTTAAGCCTTTGTCCACGGTTGTATATTTCATGATGTATATTTATATGTATATTTCTTGTAGGGGATTGTGAGAACTTGTGTGTATGTATTAATCATGGCAGGGATAAATTACTCTTAATTTAAAAAAAAAACTGCATGTTTTTAGAGTTGCCCTTGCATGGGAGAAAAAAAATGAATGCCTTTGAAGTCAATGGGTACTGAGAAATTTTTTTCCTGAAAATTGGAGCCTATTTCCCAAGTCATCCATTCCAGAGACTGTTTCTTTCAAAGAGAGAAAAACTAGTGGGAATACAATTCCTTTTCAAATTTTTATTTAAATATTCACAGACTTTCCTATTGAAAAACGATCAGCCTTATGTGTATGGAGAGCGGCCACATGTATATGCTACACAAGTAATCTTACTACCGTACAATCATTGGTTATTAAAATGGGCTTTCACTTTTCATATTGTTCACAGTCTGGCTGCTACATGGCAATTTCATTAGTACTTCCTGACCTGGATGTTTCCCTGTGATAGCACGTCCTTAACATAGATTATTTTCTCCTTTCCTGTATGTGAAATATCCTGTGTTGCCTGTATGATACAATATTAAACATGCACATGGTTTGTTCCCCGTGTGTTGTCTCTACCATGTTTGCTGGATTCTGTGCTTATTCCTTTAAAATGCTTTGTCCAAATAGTATTTAAGTCATTTGACTTCAAAGGAATGTGACTAAATACAAGGTGCAAGCTGACTGGAAAATCATTCCAGTTGTTCCATATCCTCCTGCATTCTCCTGCGTCTGGTAATGATACTATCCATAAAGCAACTTGAAAATCCGCCATGCTTCATTAAACTCATTTACGCTCCATTGTAGGCATTTAAATAAATTTAACTGGCCTATATAATGAAGAGCTTGTGTCTTTCGTGGACTATAAAGTAGTTTGCATGCTTTTAAAGCGTTGCCTCAAGGTACACCTAAATTTAGATACTTTGACTGAAGATGACACCCAGGAAGTTTGAGGCAGTGCAATGGAACATGGGTAATTCTGTCAGGTTTTAGCTGAGAAGGAAGATCTTTTGTCTTCTGCTGGATTAAGACATTAAAAAGTATACTTTAAATGACATGAAACTCTAGTCCATATCACCAAAGTGGTGGCATTCTAATGTAGTTTAAGTGATTTAAACATATTATCTCTGCCTCAAATGTTATGTAAGACATTAAACTGTTGGAATTCCAGCTGCACTGTTGCCTCAGACTGAGAGTGGCTTCCTTGTACCATAGTACAGATGGCTTATGTCTTAGAAAGCTAGAAAAAGGAGCCCATATGAAAACCATATTTTGAATTAGCTTATATACAATATATTTCCATAGAAAAGATCAAGTAGGTAGGAAAATATATGTATACACACATATATATGATCTTCTCTATGGCAGTTATTTCAACGAATATGGCCTCCAGTCTTTTAAAATATTTTTATTAATTCTTTGAGAACCTCGTACACTTTTGATCATATTCACCTCCCTTCCCCTAACTCTTCCCAGACCCACGGCCTCTTCCTTACCCACCCAGCTCTGTGTTCTCATTAGTTTTTACTCTTGGGCATGTGGCCATCTGCTGGAGCACAGTCAACCAGATAGGGGCCACATCCTTAAAAAAACTATTCCGCTCCCAGCATCTGTTCATTGCGCCAGCTCCCCAGCTTGGGCATGGGACTTCGTGCCCATCTCCACTTCCTTCCTGGATTTTATCTGTCTTGACCTTGTGCAGGCTGTCACAGATGCTCTAAGTTCGTACGTGCAACTGCCCTCTTGTGTCTGGAAAACACTGTTTTTGTTTCAGTCATCCACTGCCCCGGCTCTTATGGTCTTTACACTGCCCTCTTCCACAATGACCCCTGAGCCTTGGGGAGAGTGAGTGTGAGACAGGGGATTCCACAGTCTCTTATTCACTACATCTTGACTGATCGTGGGACTCTGTGTTAATCACCATCTACTTCTCTGTGGAGGTTTAAGGGATGTACTAATCTATATCACCTGGAGTCAGCTTCCTACTATGTCCACTTAACAGAGTAAAGCAGTAGGTTCTGCCCTGACCTGTGATCTGTCTAGCCACAGGTCCTGATAACATCACCAGGTATGGGTTCTGTCTTAAAGAGCAGGCCTTAGATCCACCAGAAAGAGGTTGGTTATTCCCATGACATTTGTGCCACTGTTACACAACTGTGCCAGTGCGCATACCTTGACAGGTCGTTCATTATTGTAGCTCTCAGGGTTCACAGCTGCGTAGGTTGGGGATCACTGTTCTCCTTTGGCAGTGTGATTAACACCTTCCAGGACTATAAAAACTAGCCAGCAGCGATGAAGCTTCTATGTCAGCCACAACTTGGTTTCTCCACGCTCTGGCTTAAGTTCGAGGTGTCTTCAGCAATAGGGTCATACTGCTGTGGGGTAACCATAGCCTTTAAGGTTTGGGAATCTAGCAGATCCCACTGGTAACAACTCCAGAAGAGGTAGCCCATTCCTGGCACTGAGCTTTTTTTTTTTATTAGCCCATGATGTCTGTTAGTGTATGAAAAGATAATGAAAATATGGAGCATTTATATTTAAAACTAAAATTTTATTTTATTAAATTTGTTCAGAGTCATCTTGTCTTTTCCATAATGTTCCAATCAAACAGGACAGGTATTTTATGGAGGAAAAAAAAAAGAAGCATGGTGTGTACCTCCGCTATTACCCATCTTCTTAGCTGCAGTGAATTTGGGGGGTGCTGCTGGAGAGTATATATATGAATACATATTTGTGTGTGTGTGCATCTTTGTGTGTGTGTGTGTGTGCATCTTTGTGTGTGTGTGTGTGTGTGTGTGTGCATCTGTGTGTGTGCATGTGCGTGTGTGTGCATGTGCATGTGTGCACATGCAGAGTTTGACTGGCCACCAGCAAGCACCAGGCATCCTCCTGCCTGAATACCCCCACACTCAGCATTGGGGTTACAGACATGTGCTGCCACAGCAGACTTTCATGTGGGCACTAAACTCAGGGTTTCATGCATCTGTAGCAGACACTCACTGAGCTCTCTCTCCAGCCTAGCAGTGAATTCTAATATTTATTGAAAATCGATATTTTCATATAATATAGTCTAAGTAAGGTTTCTCCTCCCAAATCCTCCCCATCTCCCCACCCACCCAAGTCTGCAGCCGTTCTTTCTTTCTCTCATCAGAAAACAAATGGGTATCTAAAAATTAAAAAAACAAACAAACCAGAATAAGACAAAACAAATGAGCCAAAGAAAAAGCACACGAAACACATGTAGCTCCAGAGGCAGACACACTTGCACACTTGGAGATCCCGTAAAAACACACACACAAAAAAAGCCCAGACAAAGCATTATGAGTCAAAACAATAGCAACACCACCCTCTAAAATTTCCTGAGTTCATTTGTGCTGGCCGTCTACTGCGGGGCATGGGGCCTGCCTGTAAGTGTGAATTGTATCCCAGTGAGACTCCATTGGAGAAATTTTTCCTTTTTGAGTGGTCATCAGTTGGAGACAGCTTCTGTGTCCACTTTCCCTTGTAACACTGGGACCCCGTCAGGCCCAGACCCGTGCAGCCCTGTGCACACTGCCAGTTTTGGGGGATTCATATATGCCACAGTCCTGTTGTGTCCAGAAGGCCTTATTTTCTTAGCATCCTCCATCCTATCTGCTCTTACAATTTCTGCCCCCTCTTCCTCAGAGTTCCCTGAAGCCTGAGGGGGAGGGATTTGGTGGAAACCCATTTAGGACAGAGGGTTCTGAGGTCTCTCGCCCTCTGCATATTGTCCAGCTGTCTGTGTCCATTCCCATTTACCCAAGCATTGAATTCTTAATGCTAATACTCAGGTTAATCATGCTTCTTGTTCTTTATATAAAATTGATTTCCCTGCCTATTGTTCACCACCTACCTGTCAAAGTTTTTAGATCTTTTATCTCTTTATACCTTCAACTCCTGACAGTCTCTTCCCCGTCTCATCCCCTTCAGAGGACTTCTTTTGATCACTTTGCCATCTCTTTCTGTCCTTTATCTAACGTCATTGTATATGTTAACTAACATTTTAAAATGTGTTATTTGCCTGTCTCCAGCTTTAGTTCAGTCCCCACAGGTCAAGGAGTTTCTGTTTATTTTTTTTTTTTATTTTTTTTTTTTTTTTTGGTTTTTCGAGACAGGGTTTCTCTGTGTAGCTTTGCGCCTCTCCTGGAACTCACTTGGTAGCCCAGGCTGGCCTCGAACTCACAGAGATCCGCCTGGCTCTGCCTCCCAAGTGCTGGGATTAAAGGCGTGCGCCACCACCGCCCGGCTTTGTTTATTGTTTTATCTCCAAATCCATAACTACATCCACCACATGGTAGATGCTCAGTAAATATGAATCGAATGAATATTACCAAGAAGACTTAATAAAGGATGCTCCCACATACAGTTCCTTTTGATCAGTTTGGTTGGGATAAGTATGGTTACTTTCATGTTCCTCTCAAGATGCCTCCTTACCTAGAATTCCTGGGATATGAGCCCAACCATCTACTGCATGTGAATTACTGTCCGCTTTGAAGACAGGTGCCGGGATGTGGAATTCTAGATTCTCCTGTGGGGATTACTTTGCAACATTGTTCACTTTCTTTTATTGGTTTGGTATTAGCACAATTTGCTTCAAGTTCATGTTCAGCCCCAGTAGACAGCACAGAAGTAGAGAGGTCACTCTTCTCCCCACCCGCCACCCGCTGCCCTACCTCGCCCACTCCCTGCCCCATATCACCTCTTTTCTCCTCTTGTCTTTTTTTTTTTTTTTTTTGGAGACAATATCTCATACAGCTCAGCCTGGCCTCAAGTTCTCTTTTAGCCGAGGATGACCTTGAACTTCTGGTCATCCTATCTCTACCTCCCAAGTGCTGGCATGACAAGTAGATGCCACCATGCTTAGCTGATAAGAGGGGGTCATACCCAAGGCTTTGTGCCTGTTAACTTATCACTTTAAGAATGAGCCTTTAGCCGGGCGGTGGTGGCGCACGCCTTTAATCCCAGCACTCGGGAGGCAGAGCCAGGCGGATCTCTGTGAGTTCGAGGCCAGCCTGGACTACCAAGTGAGTTCCAGGAAAGGCGCAAAGCTACACAGAGAAACTCTGTCTCGAAAAAACCAAAAAAAAAAAAAATAAAAAAAAAAAAAAAAAAGAATGAGCCTTTAGGTCTCATGTTTCTACAGGATTTCTGTCTTCAGGCCAGGTGAGGCTCTGTGTGTAAAGTTCTTCTGTATGTGGACTGAATTCCAGATACATCCTTGGCATCTTCTCACCAGATTCAAGAGCCCAGGTCTTGTCTCCCAAGCTCAGCAACCTGCCTTCCATTTTAGTTCAGGGACATAAGCTTTAGCCCCTGGTACCTCTGACTTCACGTCTTCACCTAGAAGTTTTCTTTCTCAATTCTATTTTTTATATATATTAAAAAATGAAACCTACTTCTGTGATACATTAATGATTCCTTTTGTCTCTGGGTGGGGTGGGGTAGGGTAGTGTTCCGTATCTGCTCAATCAAGCATATTAACTAAAGATGCTTGGGGAAGTTATTTATTTTAGCATTTTACAAGCAATGCTCCTGAAATGCTTGATGCTTCCATACA